GGGGTTCTCAAGTGATATGCCAATTGGATTTTTCATGGCACTCTTTCCAATCTCTGAATGCAGTCATTTCAGAAAATTTTATGTTTCACGCACTGGTAGCTCTAAAGTTGTTGTATTACTTATAGGCGTGGCTAAATCTCATTTCAGTCTTCTTTGTGTGTTCAAAGCAGCATAATGGTTACTGTGAGGATCCCGATTGAAAAATGCAATCTGCAAAGTGTACCTCTTTTCAATCAAAGTCACGTTGTCCAAGTCATAATTGCTGTGTTTGCCTTGTGACCAGCAGAGGTGTTTTGACTGGGTTGAGCATTTGTCCACTTGTGCGATAAGAGCTCCAATACAGCAGTAATTGTTAATGCAATTTGTTTGCATTATTAACTCTCCCTGAGCAAGGTCCTGCTATATACCCCATGTTCTCTCTCCCCACCTCCAGAGGTCCCTGACGACACTGTCCAGTCCAGAGACTCGGGGATGCGCTGGGAGACGAGAGAGCCGCGAGCCTTTTCAGGGGCAGAGACAGCAATCGAGAGAGGCTGGGACCTCGTGAGACTCACAGGAACGAGACGAGCTGCTTTGACGTGGCGCTCTACCAACATGGGTTCTTCTTCACCAAGGAGTACAGTGAGGAAGTGTACGGCCCAAAGGCCAAGCACGTCTCATTTCACGACTTCTTCAAGGTAATGCGGTATGGGAGCAAGCTGTATACGTTGTCTTATGAGCTCTCTAAACTGGGTGTATAGTGGTGTCATTTATCTGGTGACTATCTATCAGATTAAAGAGGAAAACCCTAGTCATAGCTTGTCTCAAACATGTAATGTGAGACATGAGCGCTCTGAACTATAGGCCTTTTCCTCATCTCCTTTTGCCTTCGTTCATCCCTCTTCCCCATTTCCTCTCTAAAAACCAGGGGACTTTCACTGAAATTGGGAGTGTTTGATTTGATTCTCTCTCCCTTCCCTCTCTCTCTCCCTCTTCTTCCCCATCATCAGTACAAGTACCAGATCAACATAGACGGCACCGTGGCCGCCTACAGATTTCCCTACCTAATGGGCGGGGGCTCCCTCATTCTCAAGCAGGACTCTCAGTACTACGAGCACTTCTACCGCCACCTCCGACCCTGGGTCCACTATGTCCCAGTCAAGAGAGATCTCAGCGACATTGTTGAGAGATTGCAGTGGGCACTGGATCACGATGATGAGGTATTATACCTACTACGTAGCTACCATATGGAGGAAACTTTCGAGGGATAAAACCGTCGCATTTTGGCAGCGAAGGTGAATTCACGGCTTGAGAAAGCCTTTGTGGACTGCTGGCCCCCGCAAAACATAATTATGTCCCCACTCACAAGACGGCTCATAAACCATGAAAAATCGTGACAGTATTCTCCCTTGAAGGTTCAGAACTCCATACAGATTAGGTTCTCCGTGGTTTCTGCACTATTAGAGCATCGGTAGACGCTCTATATTATAGTGATGGCACGGGTGGTATTCTGCACTATAAATAATCAATTAAATACACGAACCGAAAGGCAAGCTAATAAACCATCCTGACTTTGACTATAGCTGGAGAGTGCAGTGCAATAGATCCTCAATAGTTACTGTTGAAAATGGTAGATCCTCAATAGGTGCTGTTGATAATGTACAAAAGATTTAGGCCACCTTATCAGCATTATACATACCAAATCTAGTTCATTGACGGTGGCTTGCGCTGCACTCTCCAGCTAATGTCAAGGTATTCAGGGTGGTTTGTTAGCCTGTCTTTCCGTTTGTGTACTCACTAAAAGTACGAAAATCTAGGCACTTTACCAAAAAATTTAGGTCATCCCAATTTTTAACAGTAACAATTGAGGATGGATTGTGCTGCACTCTCCAGCTATAGTCAAGGTATTCAGGATGGTTTGTTAGCCTGTCTTTCCGTTTGTGTACTCACTAAAAGTACAAAAAATCTAGGCACTTTACCACAAAATTTAGGCCATCCCAATTTTTAACAGTAACTATTGAGGGTGGCTTGCACTGCACTCTCCAGCTATAGTCAAGGTATTCAGGATGGTTTGATAGCCTACCCTTCCGTTTGTGCACTCAATTCCAGAACCCTTATTTTTTGTCTCCTGATATTGCTACACAACATTGTGAAAATTTGAGGGCCCAATCTACCATTGTTTTCTGCACTCCACCATGCAACTAAATACATTGGTTGGTGGAATTTATCTTAGTGTGTGTGTGTCCAGAATACGTGGCTAGTGTTTGCTGCAGGCAAGAGCGATGGCCGGCAATGCCTACCAATTCCTCCACGACAACCTACTGCCAGAGCATCTCTACTGCTACATAGCCAGACTCCTCAGCCACTACTCAGAGCTGATAGTCGGGACACCGGCTGTCCATCCAGGGATGGAGTCCGTCGTCCCTGAGACACCTCACGACTGCTCCACAACCTGCCAGAAGGTAGTTTACGTGTATATATATAATATGCAGATTTCCGTTCACATTGTTTCAGATTCCTGTATGAGATTGTTGGATGATGGTATATTATTCTCCCTCACCCCCCTCAGTTGAGGTCCACCAGACGGCATGCACAGGGGGACAGAGATGAACTCTAGCAGGACACAAACCAAGTGATATATACATCATGTCAACAAAACTGCATATTTTCTCACTTATCTGGTGACTGCAAAAATCATTTGTGGAATAAGGAATAAAAAGCCAAGTAAACTGAAAGTTCGATATAAAAGTGAGGAGTTTCTTGGCTACTTGGTTCTGCTCCAACCGTATTTCTGGACCATTCTCTCAAAGGCAGACCTAGCCTCACCCTCGGTGTACTCGTTGTCTGGATTTGACGCCAGCCTGGCCCGTGGGTCAGACATTATCTCTGCCCTCACCTGGACCAGGATACCCTCAATGTCATTGGTGGACAGCCAGCCAGAGCGGGTGAGCAGCTCCATACAGATACTGCCTCCCACTGTCACATGACCTAGCATGGCAACAGGGACCAAGTCATGTGATCTAGCATGGCAACGGGGACTTAGTCATGTGTCTAGCATAGCAACAAAACATTTGGTGACTTACGTATTTTACCAATGCGAATCTGACCTTGCATGCTGCCACTTGCAAGACACATTTTTTTTATACCCACATACATAAGTGAGCTAGAAAATCTTTGAAGACAGTAGTAAGTGTGCAGTTGTGACATTTCGTGGAATGTGGACTTACTTCGACAATGGACAGTAACCTGATTAGCCGTACACACCCACTGTATAATTATTATACCTGTAAGGAACTGGAATCGCGGTCGGACGATCCTTACAAATGGTGGACACATTGGGTAGTCCTTGGGAAACTTCATCTCAAGTTGTAGCACTGGCTGTGCATGTGTATAGCAGGGTAGCAAGTAAGGGGTTAGCGAGTTAGGGGTTAAAGAATACCTACTGATAGGGTGGTGGGTTAGGGGTTAAAGAATACCTACTGATATGGTGGGGGGTTAGGGGTTAAAGAATACCTACTGATAGGGTGGCGGGTTAGGGGTTAAAGAATACCTACTGATAGGGTGGCGGGTTAGGGATTGAAGAATACCCAGTCTGAATGAAAAAGCACTAAAGTGCAAACCCTCGGCGAACTGTGCATGCGCGATACCGCTGGGCTTGGCTATTAGCATGCGTTTACTCGTTGTCTCCCACTAGTAGCTCTAACCAGCAAGATCAGAGCAACGCTGAAATGAATACACACCCCCCAAGACACTTCATCTTGCAACGGTGCGCTGAACAGGCGAAACCCGGTGGAGATTTTCGTATCTCTGCACTGCCCCACTCTAGCATCACACATTACTTATGCACTCAACTGTTTCACAAACACCTCTATAATTATACCACAACGGGACATACGTACATGTGCAAAATATAATATGCACACCAGAAAACCTTACCTTTCTCTTGTAAGTGTGTGCGTAAGACTGGAGGTCTTTATAGAGCAGAGTCTTGCTGTCAAAATCACTCAACTCCACGTCCCAGATGAAGAGATTGTCACCTCGAGGACCTCCCGTGATCCCAAACTTCCCTTCTGACTTCTGGAGAGATTTGAGGTCTGAAGGAGGGAGAGGGAGGGAGGAGATGAAAGGGGGAGAGAAGTCTGAGAAAGAGGAGGCAGGGAAAGACTGGTATAAGTGTGTGAACACTCGGGAAAACAGGATAACTTGGAAAATCAGGAATGAATATACACTCAGTGTAATCATGCACATGCCTGTTGAACTTGCGCACTGCAAAATCAAAACTGTCGAAATACATAGCTCTTATATAACGCACTGCAGTATCAAATTGCTATGTTGAAAAGTAGCTCTCTTTGAACCTGTATTGGTGCTTGCATATAAGCAGGAGATCAACTCACCTGATATAAGTCTGTGGACAGCGATGGCTGAGCCCTGGCCAGTGAAAAAATCATCAGCACTCACCGCACTCTCCTCACATCTACTGAAGGATACACAGCCATAATATACGGAATACAACCCAGTTATGAACGGATGTATAATTTATCTCCTCTGCTATTTTACTTAGCTAGGTACATAATCAGAGAGTGCTCACTGTTTTTTCTCAGCTGGTTCAGGATCCACATCTGGATCTTCCATGTCATAGTCATATGCATCCTCTTCATCTTCCTCTTCTCCCTCTCCCTCCTGCCCTCCTCCTCCTCCTCTTCCCTGCCTCCCTCAGTCTGTGGAAGAGCTGCTGAGCTTCCTCTTAGAACCTTAGCAGCTCTATCCAGTATCTGAGAGAGAGAGAGTACAGTGCTGGTAACAGACAGATCGTGTCATGGTGGACAATTACAATATGGATCATATTTCACCAAATTTTCAGTGTGCATACTGTATTTTTGAGAGGTTACAGGGTCCTTTGTCTGTGTACAAGGAGCATGCTGACCAGGTGTTGTGGCTTCGCCCAATGTGCCAATCAAATTTGGTGCTTTGCTCCTAGTTGACAATCACATTACACATAGCTATAGCTAATAGACCTCAGTCAACTCTCTCTTTGGCTGAGACATGTATTCTAGGCTCTCGGACAATCTCCGGACACACGACTCGTCTTCGCTCCATACCATCTGCAATAGAAGACTTCGATCACTACTAGGACTGCAGGGTTCAGCTAGTACTACTTCATACCCATTCATCTCCAGGTTTCTCCGGTACAGTCACGTGAAAGGAACCGTGAGGTGACGCAAAGTCGATTCTGCGCGCTTCCCCGTGGAGGTCGGCCAGCCTGAACCCAGCTTCATTGCTCTTGACCCACTCCTGCGTGACTTCCACTGCCTTTTGCCAAGACATCGGTCGCCCCCAGCAGCTGAGAGGGGAATTCCCAACCATGACGTCATACATAAGTGCACGTGGGTTTATTCTTGAAAGAGTGCACTTTGTTCTATTTGTTGCACACCCCACGACTTAGCTAGTTTTCTCGCGTTGTAAAGTGGAAAATGGACCTGGACATGATCCAAGACCTCCTCGGAGGATCAAATCTCCCCCCTCCACCGTCCGTGCAGGACCTGCTGGGTGACGTGATGGCTCACGTCCCATCATCGCCTTCCCCTCCTCCTCAGTCGCCCTCTTATCTCCACCTCTCCGCCGAGCACAGCTACAGCAAGGTACAGCAGAATTCATAACTAGACGATTAGATTCATCCCCCTCTGTTTTTTTTCTGCCCGTACCGCGGCAAGTTGAATTTGAAAAGTTAGCTAGGCGTTGTTATTTTTGCGGCCAGCTAGCCATTTTCTGTCTCTTTCCGCCAGGGCGCGATGAACGAAGGAGCCGCAGCCGAGCAAGCGGAGCCCATGGAGCTAGGAGCGGCTCATACCCCTGGCTCTCAGACCCTGGCCCAGCTGAGCTCCACTTCTGACTGCTACGAAGCCTTCCTGCTGAACCTCCTGCGCGTCTACACTCAGAACAAGATTGACTCTCGGGCCAACCCCGACTCAGCAAGTCAGACCTCAGCCACTGTCTCCAGCCCCACTGGGGCAAACGGCTCTGGGGCCACTGTGATAGACAGCATATACCCAGAGGCCATCAACGCTCTGAGCCACGAACAGGTCCAGTCTCTGGTGACGAGCAACTCGACAAACTACGATGTCATTCACCAGATCCTGGCCTACAGACAGAAGTCAGAGGGAGGAGGTGGTGAGGAGAAGAATGGGGGTGAGTCGGGGGTGGGAGGCTCCACACTCCAGCAGCTACAGGCCCTCCAACTGACCCCGGACCAGTTGAAACAGATTCAACTCCAGATGGAAGAACTGATCCGCACCAAACAGATTGTTCTACCAGCCGACTTGTCGGTGGAGCAGCAACAGCAGTTGCTCCAGTCACTCATACTGAAACACGTCCATAGTCAGCACCAGCAGTTTCTGGGGTCACCAGCCACAACACAGCAAACTGCTCCCACTGCAACGCAACCTTCCCAGCAACCTTCTTCCACTTATCCTCCTAACACTTCCTCCACTAACACTATCCCCTAAGACTGGTGTTAGCTCCCCCTCCAAGGTCACGGTGGGTAATACGCTGGCTGCCATATTGCGGGGAGAGTCACAGGAACAGGCCGGCATCCCTGGTAGTGGAGGAGGCGGAGGGACGGCAGCAAAGATGGAAGTACCACCGGTGTCTAGTGTTGAAGGTGGCAGTGGTGCTAAGACTATGGGTCTTCAGCTGAAATCAAATCCTGTGGTAGGTACTAGGTCATTGTATTACAAGAACTTTCATGAATCAAAAAGTTTCCCAAGTGTGATAATTGACACGCTAACACTAAAATATTGGTTGTACAAAACACTTTCGTGATACTTGGTATCTCTCTAGGAATAAACAGTACTAGAATTTACGAGAAATATGTTTGAAGCTTGTTTGACTCCAAACATGCACAATAAAGTCTACCTGACTGCCCCCTCTCTCTTGCCCTCGTATCTCTCAGAGGGAGGGCGGCCCCCCCACCACCACCCCTACTGCTGCCCCAGCCACCACTGTCCCAGCTGGCGTCACCACTCGCAGCGGAGGACGGAAAAGGAAAGACTCCAAACACCAAGATGAACCGAAAAAGTCAGTTAATTAACCCTTTTCTCACCGCCCCGTTAGTGTTGCGAAAACTGTTGTTTCTTACTTTTCAGGCCGTCCTCACCTTACGGTGTGTTCTTTTCAGACGTGTATCCATCAGTCTTACAAGCCAACCCCCGGGTAATCACCCAATGTGCAGTGTAGAGTACAACAGATGTGTGTATATACGTGTTGGCATCACTTCTACTTAGCTAAGCATCACTTAGTGTCGTACCACTACAAATTGAGTGCCAATTAGTGTCTTCACACCGTTCTGCAGATGTCTTTCTCCGAAGCCTCCAAGCTGATCTCAGCCATGTGGAATGCAATGGGCATCGATACCAAGAAGGTAAGACAACAAACGTAGCATGTTTTATCCGTTAGAAAGACATCACACCAACTCTTTTGTACCCTGCGCCTGCTCCTCAAAGGGAATCTGCCCATACATAAGGGCTGCTTGCTACCTCGAAACAATGTACATAACAACGACTTCTTACAATACGGCCTAATGCAAGAATGTAATTTTTTAAGTCGTGTGATTTTTTAAATACTGATTGACTCTACCACACTTTACAATGGATGTGCACAAGCCATCATGATGAACAGTTTAAGATCGTGCTCTATGAACCTGCTTCCATTTGTTTACCTTTATTTGCTCCCTGATACTGTTGGTACCGCAGCAATATCACGAGAGGTCAGAGAAGCAGAAAGAGGTGTATCAAACCTACCAGGCCTCCCGTAAGACAGAGACCACGCCCACCGACGAGCCGGCAGCCGCAACCTCACCGCAGGTTACCACGGAGACCAAGACTCTGGTGGAGGTGACTCCGCCAACACAGCAGACCGCCTCGTATGTTGGCCTGACGACAGGGGCAGAGCAGGTTGTGGGGGGAACAGCTGTCAGTCAGAGGCAGAGTGTTGCTCCTCCTTTAGCGACCTCTCCTCCTCCTCCTCCCCTGGCCCCTCCTGCTACTAAAGTTGTGGTATGTACTATAGACAGTACTGTATATGCAATTGGCACTGCCTCTGTACCCATGCAAAATGTGTTTTGTTTGAATGTACAAGGGTAGGGTGCACTTGCTGTCAGAAAGTCCATCTTACTTGTACAGTATACAATTGGGACAAAACCGTGCAGAAACTAATTTTGTGCTGCTTAATTGTAGCCCCTTGTCTTCCAATTTACGTATGTGTAAAAAAACTGTTGTGCTTGCTGTCAAAAGACTGTGTTGTGCTTGCTATATATGTGTGTGCATTTTAGTGTAGCTCTCGTGTGTTGAGTCTAGCTATATAGCTAGCTGTATTGGTCGTGTGTGGAATCCCGTGCAGATGAAGGAATTGAGACACTGTGTCAACGACGGATGTTTCAAGGACGCAGTCTACACAGATTACAGAGGACCTCGCTACTGCTCCAATGATTGTGTCATCCAGCATTGCAAGTGAGGACCCACTCTCTCTCTCAAAGTTTTTTATTTTATGATTTGTCTCTTTTTTCCTCAAACCCTGCATTAGCCGCTGTAAGTCTATATAGGTACGTGTTGTAAAACAGTTGAATTTCTCTTTACAGGAGTGTATTCCAGGAGTGGGTGGCACAGAGGAAGGTAGCAACATGAACACTTCTATCATCAACCCCGCACTTCATATTACATTAACATCACTCAGATGGCAGTATACTAACACAGTGATTGTGCAAAAGATCAGAACACTAAAAATTTTCCATCAAAAATCACTCAAAATCGTGCAAGGACAGGAGTTTCGTGATCACAATCCTAACTGACAGTGGTTGTCTAGGCTGTAGTAGTAGTTCCATTGTAGGTCAGGTTGTTCCAGTTTGTCCAGTAGTAGTCATGCATGTACATGAGTATGGCCACCGGCTGGCCCAGGACGATACTGCTCCATACTATGACATTCCCCAACTGGCCCTTGAAGAACGGGATGGCCGTTATGATACCTAGCGGGATCTGCACAGAAGAACAGAGGGAGGAGGTCACGTGATGATGAAGGAGAGCGGGGAGGTATATCAGATAGCAAACTCCATTTTTGGAATTGGCGAGCGAGAACACGAGTAGTTCAATTTTTTTGCGGTCATGTTTAGAATCACGTAAAGTGTTAGAGTATGTGCAGTGTCCATCACATGAGCATTGAGATGACTATTATGTAGGCTCACTTCACTGAGGTATAGTGAGTGAGAGAGAGGGGGGAGGAGAGGGAGAGAGAAAGAGGGAGAAAGATAGAGAATAGACCATGAGGGAAGATGGAAAGATAAAGGGGAAAGTGTTGACTGTAATGCCATCTTGTGAACACACACACCGTGGTTGACAGGTACAATGTACATCACCTGGAAGAGCATGGCGGTGAAGGCCCAGGGACGCAGCATGAGTAGAGGAATACTGACCAGGTACTGCAGACACAACAACCAATGACCACCGTCACCATGAGAGATAACTCAGACCTCACCTCGTGGAAAAAGGCGGAGAGAAAGAAGACCATCATGGTGGCCATTCCCCTGTGCCAGCCACGGAGTTTCAGGGGGTGGTAGATATGCCTGCAGTGCAGATTTCTACTTTCATGTCGAGTAGGTGTACTCTCCAATGTTGCATGTCAGCAGAGTGGAATACATGTGTGTGAAAATGTAGTACGTCTCAGGGGCCCACAGTAGATGTATGCACAGTATTAGTATATACAGTGTAGAATGTGTGGTAGTGGTGTGTACCGAATGGCCCAGCGGTGGACTGGGATGTTCCACATCTTCCAGAACTGCTGAATAGAGTCAGAGTTCCTGTAGTAAACAGATGTGTAGGTACATGTAGAGGTGCCTTCAAAGATGATGATGTACAGCAGGGGCTCATAATAATAGGGTTTTATGTTATAGAAAGGCTAACTAGCAAACGGGTCTCTGTAGCCATATTAGAACATACATGCAGTGTCCTGCCCTCATGTCATGTCATGTGTATTTGTGTATGTGTGTTTTGTCTAACCATAATCTCATTCTCAATATTGTGTGACTTTAAGCCTTGACCCAGAGAGAGAAATTTACACTCCCTTACAAACCTCTGAAAAAGTACCCTCAAATTAAACGACACATCTCTGTACACAACACTTGGTACTGGTGTAACTGAAATAGGGACACCTCTGAATAAAGGACACCTTCATGTCCTCAAAGTGTCATCTACTCAAAGGTATAAGTTCTTACCACCAGTCTCCATAGAACTCTCTGTCTGCAAACCTCAGGAGCTCCCCCACAAGGTTCATGCAGGAGTGGAAGAAGAAGTAGAAGAATAGGAGCCAGAACACGTGGTTGGGTAGCTGGAGAGAGAAGGCCCCACAGTCACATGACAGACAAATTAGCATCAAACTTTTCAACAGACAGTAGCAGAGAACGTTAGCTTTCTATAATATTATTTCTTGTTGAAATTTTCATGCGATATTATGGAGCGCCTACCAACATAGTTGTGCTTGAACAAAAACTACCGTTTCAGTTGCAGAGGCTGGTATAAATGTTGCCACTTTTATTGAGCCAAGTGTCCATTTACCTACACACTTTCCAGCAATGCATAATCACTTGGGCCCTCATGAGCTTCTGGTATAATGTACAGATGTATAGGAAGGTACTGTAGGTAGCTAGGTTCACATGGTAGGCAAACGTACAGCCAGGAGGAGAAGTCTCTCCAACATTCTGGTGTAGTCCATGTCTCTGAATGGCTCCAGAGAGTTGAGAGCTGTGGGCATGAGCCACTGCTGGAATATGGCCAGCACCACGTGCAGCAGAAACACCTGCACACACACAACATACAAGAGGCGGCTACTACACCAACCAGACAAACGCCAGAAGGCGAGTACATGTGTCTCATAGGGTTACTATTTTCAAACACAAAACTTGTGCCTTGACACCTGACACATAAACATAGCTAGCCTGCAGACCCTCTCTCTCTGGTCAGGTTATGCATGGACGCAGTCACTCGCGCATGTGCAGGCCAGAGAGAGAGGGTCTGCGGGCTAGACTACATCTGACATAGAGTGCTATGTATATAGACTCACTGCCTCTAGGATTCTTCTGAGGAGGAAAACCTTCCTGATGCGTGGGTTGCGGGGAAAGTTGAGCTCGTAGCAGAGTGTGGGAGCCCAGCAGAAATACAGCAGGTCTATAATAATATTCATAGACTGACGTTGTTGTTACAATACCAGGTCTACAATATTCACAGAGACGTTGTACACAGTTATTATCTGAGATAAATTACAGGGAGACGTGGTGGTTGAGGCAGCATGCCAATCACTACAATCACAATGAAAAGCACTAAAGTGCAAACCCTCGGCGGAGACGCGCGTGCTCGCAAGAGAAGAAGCAAAGTTGACGAAGGCCGCCTATGTAGCTACACCGTCTTCTGGTTAAAGGCTGCAGACGAGGTAAAGCACGCTACCAAGTGAGGCACATCTTTCACTGTGCATTTGCCATGTGTTTAGCTCGACAATAGGCTTGGTAAACGTTCTCTGCAGAATTGTAGCCTGTGTGAGAACGGGATATTTTACGGAATATCTCGTGCATGCGTAAACAGGTAGTAAAGGGTCTGGAAATGAAACAACTCACACATAACTATGGGACAGAAGAAAGTTTCCATATAAGTGAGGTATCCCTACATGTCGGGCGTTAAATTGCATGCCAGAACTGTTCTTAGAGGAAAGAAAGGTGTCCTCATTTCAGGGGTGTTGTTATATATAGAGGGTTTCCACTATAGTAGGTAGTGTCAAAAGGGGAGGATATATATACCTGATAAGTAGAGATTGTCAGGATACTCCACTAGTTTGTGGCCTTTCTCTGCAGCATCTGGAGACGATACCCATTGAGTTCATCACACATGTTCAAGTAGTGACATTTGAGAAGAAGGAGAGGGTAGAAGGAAAGGATGAGAGGGAGGAGGGGAGAAAGGGAAGAAGAAAGGGGAGAGAGGGAGAATAGAGGGAGGGAGAAGGTTTCTACTAGTGCGAAGATCGGGAGGTTTTTTCTCCCTCTTTCCTCCACTCTCTTTTCTATGTGTCTTCATTTCTTTAGTTTCTCCTTTTCTTCTTTCCATTTTTTCCTTTTTTTTTTTTTTTTGTCCCCTTTTACTCATCTGTCTTTTTTGTTTTTTTCCTCCCTCTCTTTCTTTTCTTTTCTCCCTTTTTCTCCCTCCCATTTTCTCTCTTTCTCCGCTTTCTTTCTTTTCTTCCTTTTTTCCCTTTTTCTCTCTCCTCTTTGGTATATGAGGGAGTTATGTACCTTTCCTGTTGCTGGAGGCTTGAAGTTGCGACACCACCAGTTGACCTGGCAATAGGACACCAGTTTCATCCACACAATCGTGTACCACACCAACACCACAAAGGAGCCGACTGAAAACAACAACCGGCCACCATTAAAACACAAAGACCTCTACGAAGTGGTATATACGTTCCTAGGGAGTCTTTGGTGGGTCAAAACACTAAAGCATCCACTCTGTGTTTAGAAGCCATGACTAAATGGACAGTGCCTCCTGGCAGAAAGTGGTATATACAGCCATTATTAGTCTAATCATCACTCGTTGACCAGCAGCAGCCACAGTAAAGAAAACAGGAAGAGAGGAAGAGAGAGAGACTCACAGGGGCCCAGCTGGAGGATGAAGATGACAGCCACTGGCAGGGCCAGCAGGCCAACCAACAGAGCCACATGCCACAATATCACCTGTCTGTTTGACAGCTGACCCTGCAGTATGTGTGTGCTTCCAGTGTGTTGAGAGTTGGTGTGTGTGTGGTTGTGACTCACCTTGGAGGCCAACTTTTCTCCAACTAGCATGAGGACTGCAAATAGGTAGCTCACTGAAAGGAGAGACAGAAAGGATTCTAAAACATGGTTCATCGCAGGACCCCGTGACAAGACGCAAGACGACCTCACAGGAATATACTAGGGCGCACACTCTCATTTGGCCCTCCATTGCATTTCATGGAATAGAAAACTCATCTATTCTCTGCGACGTCGCAAAACGTCGTGCGATGTTCCAGTGGACATTTGTGAACCAGGCTTACCGCCTCTCTACCTCTGTACCATAGACTCCACCCTCTCTTCTCTAATACTATATATGCAGGTTGTTACTGGACTCACCCACAAGCAATATCCATGCTGGCATGGTATCTTCATTGAAGGTGTAGATCAACCACTGCCTGGGGTTTACCAGTATCCCATACCTATGCATTATACCACCAACATGTAAACCACACACTCTTCCGGTGTTCAAATAACAGTTAATGTTGTCTCACTTGAAGAGGTTTGAGGCCACATTGTGTGAATTTGACAGCACCTAAGAGGGAGGTGGTAATACAAAGGACGTGAGACATGGTGTAACTGCACAGCAGGAAAACGTTTCGGGGAATGAATTTTTCGGTTTTACAGCCATCTGTACCGTAAAACCTTTGTGGGATGGGATCCAATTATTACACAGTTGGTTGACTAATTTACGACAGTGTTCTCTGCCAAATAGAATTCCGCCTCAAGATTCCTCCCGTCACCACAGAGGCAAAGTTGTCTTACCAGTAGCAGGATGCAATCGTTGAGGAGACCCCTGTAATTTTGGAAGCCGCTCCTCGAGGAGAAACAGAGACTCGGTATGAGAGTGGCAACTGTGTGTGTGTGTGTGTGAGGTGTGAGGAGAGAGAGGAGTGAAGGGTGCAGAGAGCATCAAAATAGGGCATAAAAACAACAGGCACAATGCGACATATAATTTCTGTAAAAACACGATAGTAGTAAACTCCACAGTGTACATACGTAAAAAAATATATTTTGGGGCTGAGAACTGTATGTAGCAATGTGTTGTGTTCCATGCCAGCAACCGGCCTATCACAATCTGTTATGACAACGTTATGTCTGCCCAAGGTCACCTTTCAGCCTACATGTAAGTATGCTTATGCAAGTCTTTTTTACACGTGCCACTGAGGGTGATGGCAACGCAAATAGAGATAATAAGCCTCAGCATCCCCCGCAAGGTTAGTTCCCGGGCGCCGGACGAAGGTCTGTGCTGACTTACGGTCTGTCGGGCCCCCCTCGACGACTTTTGTCGTTGGTATGGTTCAAGGCTGGCTCATCGCCGCCGTCCCCCTGTTCTGGGGGATTCTGGAGCTCTTTAGCTTCCCCACTAGCCCTCTCGCGGTGTCTCAAGCCGTCGCTTGAAGACGACGTCGCCATTCCCTGCGCCTCGCACAGAGCAGACTGTTGTGTATACTGCGATCCCAACTTATTGCCTTATGCGCATGCGCAAATTCGCTGGTTCTGAACCCTGCACTTCAGCGGCACAAAGCACGTGTGGTGAAATGCCCAACTTCTCCATCTCGGCCAAGGCGTACGCCAAGATAGTTCTCCACTGCTGCAAGTACCCTCACAGAGCAGTCAATGGGGTCGTGATTGGCACATTCTCGGACAAGGACCAGGGAGCGGCGGTCCTGATCCAGGATGCTGTCCCACTCTTCCATCAGAACCTCAGCCTTGCTCCCATGCTAGAGGTGGCTCTGAGGCAGGTAAAGGTTCACTTCCAACCTAAATGTGTATACAGTATACAGTTATATTCTATACACAGCCTCCTACAGAGGAACTAATAAGCCATGAAGCGAGGACACCTCTAAATTGACACCTTTTTATTTTCCATTTTCCTCAAGGAACAGTTTGATTTGCATGCAATTTGAAGTAAGGAATGTGGAAACTTTATTATGTCGCATTGATTAGAATACATCTGTCTTTTACATCCCAAAATGTGTGTAACGCTTTGTCTTTGTTGCTTTTACTGCTACTGGTGTTTTCTTTGGCAGGTTGATGTGTACAGTGAAAAGAAGGGACTTGTGATTGTTGGCTATTACCATGCAAACCAGAGACTAGATGACAATAGGTATAGTGTAAAGAAACACTTCCCAGTTACTGTTTTCTGTGGTTGTATATAGTCCCAGTGAAGCAGCACAGCTCATAGCTGGAAAAATAGCCAGCAACGTAAAGTCGTCCAACAAGGCTTGTCTTCTCATGGTATGTAGTTTTGGGAGTTTATTTCTGTTTCATTTTCCTGGCAGTTTGTTTTGGGTGTTGGAGGGTAGGTGATTGATAACTTTTGTGTAATCAATGACAGGTGGACAACCAGAGTGTGGGGAAGAAAGACCAGCTTTGTTTAAAGGTTAGCACCCTCTTTAGGATGTGTGGACATATATATGGTTGGTGTGGTTCCACAGCTGATGACTAGAGTGGAGTCAGAGAACAGATGGAAGGATCACAGAGATTTGTGAGCCTCCTAACTAAATATACCAGTGTCCCTTTGTGAAGTCTTTGGTCGTTGTTCACACTCCTGTCTCGTGTTCACACTGAAAAAGTCAAAGCTGTAAAGTTCTGTTGAAATTTTTCACTTGGATGGCATGCTTATTGATTGGTGCATGTGCATGGAGACCTCTTACAGTCAGTCAGTAAAGCTGTAGCTATATACCGTGGCAAGATCATCCTAGGATTGGTCATTGTTTGAAACTACACATTGTGCAAAATACCCGATAGTGATGAAATGTCTGGAACAAGTGTATACCTTACAGTAGCTCCATTGACTGTTGTTGCCTGTGTGTGTGTGTGTGTGTCCGGCAGTTCTCTGGTGGGGAGTGCACAGGCCCAGGAGAGGGTGCACAGTCTCATTCTGAGCAGAGCCTTTGAGAAGCTGGTGACTTTGACAACCACCTGGACAACATAGAGATGGACTGGACCAATCCCTCTGTCAATCAGGCCCTTGAGAGTAGCTCCACTAGGGAGGAATAATAGCAGTGTGTGTATAATGTGCCAAATTTGCAATAATGTTATTGGCAAGTGAGGTAGGTCAGCCTATATACCAGGTTGTCAAACCATGCACGATTTTTTCCTGCATTTTTTTACTGATGGCGAAATTATAATTTTGGCGGGAAGCATCAAAATTGTTGATGGGGCTGTGGCTAAGACTGTAAGTGAATGTGGGTATTTTACGCAGACACACACCGCCACGCCAAATACATTATGTGACTGCAGGAGTTACCCCTCTCGTTGCTATTTATCTCTCACAGCATGATAGGCTACGGGGACCGTGCTACAATGTTCGTTGCAAAGTATAACACTGCATACCGCTTGCAAGGCCATAGACGTGAGATGGAAATGCAGAATTTGCAGCCATCAATGAGGTAGCACTGGAACCATTTATGTAGTGGAACAAATCATCCTTGCTGCGCATGCACTGCTGTACTGCTACTCTTATATACTAGGGGATTAGCGATTAGCTGCTTGGAGTTTGTAGTAAACATGCCACAACAGTTTTTTTTTATAAAACATTTACAATGAGACCCTAAAGAACAAGATAATGAGCCTTGTAGTCATGAAGTGTCTGCCACTGTCTTGCCTAACCTGGTGCTTTGCTAGTGTCATAACTTTGTCCCAGGGCTCAGTGTTGGCCACCAACACCAGCTGCCCCACCTGGTTCTACTATGACAACACCACACAGCAGTGCTGGTGTGGATTTTGGCTATTGTGCTCAAGCAACAAAGATGTGGAGATTGAAGATGGAACCTGTGCCACATCTGCTGGAGAAGAGGACCAGTACTATATTGGCCCATGTCCATTCAGACACACAGTCAACAACACCAACAGGATATACTCTGAAATGCCTAGTGATCCTGGCCTGCTGGATGATGTGATGTGTGGACCTTACAACAGAAAAGGTCTGCTGTGTGGAGAATGTATTGATGGATATGGTCCCACGGCTTTTGTATTTGACCTGAAATGTGCCAATTCTCAAAGCTCTCGGAATATTATTCCATTCCTCTCTACTTTTGGTACTGAGAGTACGTTGTTCTTTCTTACCTACTTCCTGCCGTAGCGGTTCGTGTTCTAGTTAAATAAACATGGCCCTTTACTGAGGATATATAATATTCAGAGTCAGGTATACATTTGGTGGATGATGCAGAATACTACATCTATGAGTATACATTACATCACGATGCACCATGTCTCTTCATAGTGTTGTTAAAGTATTACTGCATTGTCTCAGTTCTGTAGCCTTGAATATGTAATACCTGCTGTGCCCACCATTTTGTATCAGTGAGAAACTAAGTGACATCCACATTCAATTGCTCAGTTTAGTACCAGCAACTTATTCAATTGTACTTGTCATTGTAGTTATATCCTCATGGAATTGCAATCAAAAAATTGCAGAGTTACACAGATCCTTGGGTGCCATTTAGCATCACCCTTCTCAAGAGACTAACATAAACGCAGTGACTGGAGATGCAGTTATTCATGCCTTTGCCTCGTTTATCTTCCTTTCAATGTGCATCTGTGTATACCACCATGGCAAATGTTGTGTCAGATGTTTGGTTCATAGGGAGGATTCGAGCTATACAAGCACTCTGTCTTCCTTGACCCTCGTGGAGTTTATAGGGAACACACATATCAAGTATCTATAATTGGACTTATGCACTCATATTTCTGACACTAATAATGACCCTCACTTTTCCATATCGTCTACCCTCGACAAGGATATATGGATATCTCTCTCAGGTGTATCAGTGCCATAGGAGCAGAAAGCGACTGGCATCACACAGCATTTGCTGAAGCTCTCCAGTAATGCTTCAAAGATGGTCTCGAATGGAACCAGAGACTACGGGCACTGGTTGGACTGATTGCATTAACGACCTAAATATGTCTGTGATACTTCTAAAGAGTAGGTCAAACTCACTCACTAACAATGGGGTTTTTCCCACCCTGCAATTTCTGCGTACCATCAACTTATTGTTACAGATGTTTTATCATCACCTCACACCTACAGCCAGCCATGCAGACGTCAGCCATTGCCAAGGTCTCACTCTCAGTCTTAAGTGCTCTTTTTGCTTGGGAGTCTCTTTGCCTTGGACATATGTGTTGTTTACCACTGGTTATGCCACAGAAATGCTGTCACTCGAATTTATGCCTTATCTTTTTATGTCCGCCAGCGCCCTTGTCTGTATGTGGCTGTGTATGCACTAATGGCTCGTATATAAGAACGCATGGTGGATACCACTTCACACCATGTGACTGCAGAATGAACTTGACCAGTTTCATAAGTAGAAGAAGACCGTGGAAACTACCAAGACAACTGAACTGATGATCACAGCATTGCAGTTATCGTGGCAAAGTATTGTAGCTACAAAGAGTGGTGGTGTGTGACTACCTTCTATTTTGTATGCCATGTCAAAAATATTCAGCTGTAGTTAGCCCTATTGTAGTGCAGAAGGTGTCAGCATGAGCGTACGTCACATGTGCATGCGACACACCCACATCTCAACATTAGCTACCCACCGCTCCTGTTTGTCTTGTCATAAGTGTGTATCTATCCAGCTAGCTGTAATCAGACCAACATGATGGGGGGGGGGGGGGGGGGGGGGGGGGGGGGGGGGGTTTTTTTTTTTTTTTTTTTTTTTTGTTTTTTTTTTTTTTTTTTTCTTTTGTTGTGCGTATGGTTTTTTTTTTTTTGTCTTTTTTTTTCTATTTTTTTTTCTTTTTTTTTTTTTTTGTTTATTGTTTTGTGTTTTTTTTTTTTTTTCTCGTTTTTTTATTTTGTATTTTTTTTTGTTTTATTTTTTGTTAGTTCCAACTTATCTCCTTCTTAGGTTGTGACTATTTGTATGCCATGTCAAAAATATTCACTGTAGTTAGCCCTATTGTAGTGCAAAGGTGCAGCAGAGCGTACGTACATGTGCATCACCCACTCTCAACATTAGCTACCGCTCCTGTTATTGTCAATAAGTGTGTATCTATACAGCTAGCTGTTCAGACCACATGATGGGGGGTGTATATAGGGAATCAATATTTATTAGAAACACCAAGTATAAAAGATACCTTAACCTCCAAAACTTGGGGAGATCTGATAGACAAAAAAGGAAAGTAAGATAAACTTTTCGCAGCTAGTGTTTTGTGTTACTGTTTTGTCATGTGTTTCCCAGCCAGTGTTTTGTGTTGCTGTTTTATCTTGTGCATATTAATATTTGCACGCCAAAATCATGTTATACAACAAAGCCTCCCTTCTCACAGTCAATAGTTTTGGGAAATCTAGTATTTTGGTTTCATTTTCCTCATATTGCTTTCTGATTGTAATCAAGTGCACAACAAAAAAGTAAACATAAAGTCAGTTGTGTAGCAGCTGCAGAAGAGTGGTGGCCCATGATTGTTGAATTTGCGAGAGTAGTTACACGTGAAAAGAACAGAATCAAACTGAAAAAGAGCTAAGAATAAAAAAGCCAAAAGCCATTAACTTGCTGGTGTCATTGTTTTAAAGATCTATGAAGCTGCTCTGGTCAATCTGGTGCTGCATTAGTGCCACTGCCTTTTTGTCCCAGGGCTCAGTGTTGGCCACCAACACCAGCTGTCCCACCTGGTTCTACTACGACAACACCACACAGCAGTGCCAGTGTGGGTTTGGACTCAGTTGTGTCAGTGACAAAGATGTAGAGATTAGGGATGGTTTCTGTGCCACATCTGCTGGAGAAGAGGGCCAGTACTATTATGGTGGTTGTCCATTTGGGCGCACAGTCAACAACACCAACAGGATATACTCTGAGATGCCTAGTGATCCTGGCCTGCTGGATGATGTGATGTGTGGACCTTACAACAGAAAAGGTCTGCTGTGTGGAGAATGTATTGATGGATATGGTCCCACAGCCGACGTCCTTGACTTGAAATGTATCAATTGCTCAAAGCTCTCAGAATCTTATGCCATTCCTCTATACTTGGTAATAGAGCTGCTCCCAATCACACTACTTTTTATCTTAGTAGCTCTGTTCAATTTCAACATCACCTCAGGACCTCTACTGGGTTACATAGTTTTCTGCCAGGTACACCTTGTTACGATGAAAAAAGCTCCTTTTATTAATGAGCACCTTCAATCACACGCATTGATCCCACTTCAAAATTTTCTTATAGCTACGTCTCATTTTTGGAGCTTGCAATATGTTGCACCTGTTGTCCCACCATTTTGTATCAGTGAGAAACTAAGTGAGATTGACATTCAATTGCTCGGTTTAGTACCAGCCATTTACCCAATTCTGCTAGTCATCTGTACTTTTATCCTCATTGAACTGCATGCAAGGGATTTCAAACCCGTGAAAATATTTTTGAAGCCATTTAGCATCATCCTTAAGAGGACTAATATCAAAGTGGTGAAGAGACATGCAGCCATTCATGCATTTGCATCATTTATATTCCTCTCAAATGCATCTGTCTATGCCATATCTGGAGCTGTTTATAACAACCACGTCGGTACATAGACAGGATTCAAGCTTTTACAAGACCTCAGTCTTCTACGATCCATTGCTAGAGAGACTAAACTATAGACATTTTCAATTCTTAGCAATTTGTGTAATACCTTTTATATGTCTGACAGTGGTTCCCTCAGTTTTCCATATCGTCTACCCGACAAGGATATATGGATATCTCTCAAGGTGTATCAGTGCCAGAAAGCGACTGGCCATCACAGCATTTGCTGAAGCTCTCCAAGTATGCTTCAAAGATGGTCTGAATGGAACCAGAGACTACAGGGCACTGGCTGGACTCATTACATTAATCCCAATTGTCTACATTTTCACCAGAGTGTTCATTCTCACGCAAGTCGGTTGCAGCCCTGCTATTTCTGATGCAATCAACCTGATTGTTACATGCTGTATCGTCTCCTACATCCAGCCATGCAAGTCAGCCATTGCCAATATCTCCCTCAGTTTCAACTCTTTTCTGCTCGGTGCTCTCCATGTTATGCAAGACTGGTGGTTTAGCAGATTGTTAATACAAACAGAAATACTGAATTTGGTATTGATCCTTATTCCTTTGATGTCCAATGGTCTCGTGTGTGTTTGGGCTGCCTATAAATTAATTCATTGTACATCAAAGCACTGTGGATGTGCCCGTAGCACCGTACTGACCAACAGAGTAAAGAAATTTTGCGGTGGAAGAAGAGGTGGTGGCTACCAGGAATTGAACTAACAGTTTTTGAATTGACGTGTTTAAGACAATTACATGTACAATTATGAAGCGTGCCCTAGGGCTCATTAAACAGTAGACCTCGTTACTGTTATGTATTTTTGATGAGCTGTTGCATTGAGACTCAAGTGTAGGACTGAGTGGGCACCACATAAGCCTTCGTAATGGTAGTTCTTACGCATTGATATGCATGGCCCCCAGCAACACAGAGACTCAGAGAACAGACCACACACTATGTGTTTAGCCAACTACCAATCAGAAAAGCTACACTTCAGTGAAATGTAGGAAGATGAAGGGAAACATGATGTGAAACAGAGAGACGCTTTCCCAGTTACTGTTGTCTAGTGTGTAGTTTCAAACAGCCAACACGACTTGCCTTGGCGGTTATCAACATTTACCTAGTATTCACATGTATAGATGGAAGTGGTCTAGAAAGACCAGTAGGTTGTAGCCGGTTTGTGTGTTAATCTGTGCTTGATGACTGCCCGATACAATGAAAAGCACTAAAGTGCTCTTTCATCCCGAGCTTTGGTGGACTCTTCTTGAGGCTGAGGGGAATACATTAGCCAATTGGGCTGTGGTGGCCACCAACACCAGTTACTGTGCCACATGGTTGCACCAAGACCACCTCTGCCCACCCCGGTGTAGCTACATGGCCAGTGCTAAATGACAGTTGACACATGGAGAACTCCGATTGTACCTTGCAACCACTGGCATATGGGGTGAAGTTTTCATACAACACCTGTTCCAACCAACACAGTGTATAGCTAAGCTCATTTGTACACTGGTTTTTCTCAGGAAGTGAAGGTTGGACAGCCTTACAGATAGCTGCATGGATCGTTTGATCACACATTATAATTATCATTGGCTGTGATCGTGGGTAGAGGAATTTTGGCCCAGTATAGGAATTCTTTTGCTTCCACCCTTCATTAATCAGGAATGCTCTTGTTATAATTCTTGTTAGGTCCCTAAAACATTTCACCATGTTTTGCTCTTGGGTAACTATATAGCTATATAGTAGGTTGTGTGATTGTAACAATCCCCTTGCTGGAACACCATGTCACCCAAAACCGTTCAAATACACTCCTCAGAGACTTAAAAATGGAGGGGGAAGGTTATTTTGTCTGAGTGATAATGAGTGGCCCTTCTAGCTATGTACATTTATATCCATACACACCAGGTAGCAGTGAGCCTACATTGCCGGAGCGTGGAGCTCTCTCTTCTAATGACAAACAAAAATGCCCACGGCTCCCACACTCCCCCTTCAGTTGGCATGCCAGAGAGGCCATTAACAACTATGGTAGTCTGTCCTATACACATTAATATTACAAAGGGCTGACAGTAACTGTGCCAAATGTGAGGTAGTAAAGATTGTGCAATAGTCGGTAGTGCATATCACATTTTTCCTGCAGCTGTCAAGCTCTATTTTGTCTGTTCTATCTCTAACGCAACTTTGGCTGGCTCAGTATCTCTTTCACGTTCTTCATCTTGCCTCTTGCCATTTATGGCTGGGTCTTGGTTTGCTTGTCCTAGTCCCTCTGAAGCCTGGTTGACTGGCCCAATTTCTGTCTCTTTAGCAGACGTGGTAGACTCAGTAGTGGCATTCCCCCCTTTTTTGACATTTTGCATGGCCAGCGAAGTGTCCTGTGTGCTCGGCATGAGTGTGCTCTTAAGGCTGATTATGCTGGAAATCATTGACCTGAAGTGCTTCTTGTAGCGAGACAAGGCCTTTTGAGTGAAGAGGAAAGCGACGCAGATGGTGAAGCCTTGGGTGGAGGTGAGAATGATGAAGATGTACCAGGCCCAGTCGTCCCTGGCGAGGATCGCAACGAACCCAAACACCCACGTGAGCCCAGTGATGGAGAAGACACTCAGGTGGATGCGGAGGTAGGAGGTGGTGTTCTGTTTCTTGAGCTTGGCCTCGCCTCGCTGTGCCTTGACTAGTAGGTAGCTGGTCACAAAGGACGCCGCTCCATTCAGGAGCAGTGAGAGTATTACTGGGGTCAGAAAAGCCACGTAGAAAGATGCTGAGTCGCCAATCCAGCAGAATCCTTTTTCCCCGTATTGGATGTAGTCAGATGTGTAGTTGACAATTACGCTCAAAAGGATCACAAAAGTGGGGAGACCCCATCCTATCAACATATAAACAAGAAGTATGTTCCGCTTGACCTTGTTAGCCTCGGTGTTTCTCAGTTTTGAAGCTCGGATCATTGTCCGTGCGAGCTCGTAGCTCATGATGGTCATCCAGGAAAACTGAGAGAGCGCGAGCCAGTGGAGGAAGATGGCTGTCATCTGGCAGAGTTCCTCTTTCTTTGCCTGGGCAATTAGCGGGATTCCAACCAGGAGGAAGAGAGAGGTGGCCAGGATAGCTGCACAGAGGTTCATGAGAATCTTCCCCGGAAGTGTCCGCAGCTCCTTGAATAGAGTGTATGTCAGCAGAACTATCACACAGCCTATCACAGAGAGAAAGCAACCCACGTAGGTCAGGACGGTGAGACCTACTGGATAGGAGTAGGAAATGACCGTCATATTCACTTCAATTGTTCCAGTCTGTGTAAAGTTTGTGCAGATGATTGGTGAGTCGTTGATGTAGCCGACAATTTCAAAGACACTTCCCATATACTCTAAGGTCTTGTTGTCAAAGGGAGTGAATTCTGAAATATTGAGTCGAACGAGAGCTTTTATGTCACAAGGAAAGGAGTTGTTCAGGCTGCCATTGGTGATTTTGATATCTCCGTTCATTCCTGTTATTACACAAGCCTCTCCTTGAACAACTTCTCGACAGGCTGATTTGCGACATTTATTGATGATGTAATCAAAGACTTCACCCTCCCCGCAAGTGGTGGTAATGACTGTAGTTGTCGTTCCCACGGTAATGGTCTGTGTGTTTCTGTTTGGATCCACAAAAACTGTGAATGGGACAAAGTCAAACATTGGTTCGTCACCTACTAGGGTGTGTATAGTGTTATTTTCCTCTGTGATATTTCCCCCCGATCCTAGATCATTAGGATCTGCTGTAGAAGTAGGTGGCACAGTTTCTCCAGTGGGAGGTGGATTAGTAGGCTCTGTGGTAGGAGGTTCTGCCGATATTTTCAAAGCCTTTTCTTGGCAGTAGTTAATGTCAGATTGGTAAGTGTGCTTGACACAGACCAGTGTTTCATTGCTGACTCTGATCCCAAAGCACAGTGCACAGTACTGATTACGGAAGATGAGAAAAGGTTCAATTTCTGGCACTTCCACTGGTTCGTAGGATCCCCTCGTGCACTGGGTCACCAACTCGTGATAGAGCTGCTCTGTGATCGACACATTAGTCATTTCCTGAAGAAATTCCCGTTCAAGACATTCATCATACAACAGAGAGCGATGGACACACGCTCTCGCTGCTGGGACAGCTCCGTTTGTAACGTGAGGGTCTCTGAATCTGCAAACGAGGCACCACTGCTCTATGATGTCCAGAGTGAAGTTAAAGTTTGGTTGCGACGCCAATCGGGAAAGCTCGGGACTGCACTCAAGAGTGTAGCCCCACCGTATGAAGCTGTAAACCTGGTTGCACACGGCGCAGTACTCGTTCTTGTAGACCAGCCCCGTCTCGAGGTCCGTGACCGGCGGGAGGTCTTCGCTGCCTCTCAAACAGCTATCGCGGATGTCCAGGTATAGTTGGTCCTCTTCCCCGTCCAGCCAGTCCACGGAGCAGGCGGACACCATCCAGAACGATTCCCCCCAGCCAGGCTGAGTATCCTCATCCAGGTAGGTGCTGCGACACACTAGTAGGTCTGCGTCCAATCGACCAGGGACATCGGTGCTCGTCGAATCCGTCGACGGAAGGTACGAATCGCAGCAATCTCCGTATACTGTGCAGTCAGAGTCGCAGCGACACAACAACTCCTCTCCTTCAACCATTTCTCCGTCAGGACCAAAAGTAAACGAGCACGTTGTCAGGCAGGTATAATTTTCGTTGGGCGAGTAGTAGCCTAAGTCATCTTGACACTCGGCGACGTCCGCGCCAAGTAGTAGTGATAGGAGCCAAAGCGCGGCCCCAAGCCCAAGCGACGAAAGAGCTCCCATTTGTCTACTAGGTGGTTGTGTGCGACTATTTTCTTGCGTGAGCTTGCGGGTGCGCATGCGCTGTTCATGCGCCGATTGCGCCGCCCTCGGCCGCGCAGTCGTCCACTGCATGCAGACTTACCGATTTGGAGTTCTCCCAGTATCGAGCATAATAAGCACTGGAAATGGAGCATACCGGAAGGAGACAATAGACGAATCTCACTCTACACAGAGAAACCAAGAAAATACAAAATGGTGGTTCAACGAAAGGCTCGACAGCAATGGGTGATACAATTTGAACTCATTGTCTTGATGACAATGGTTATGATCGTGTGGGGTCTTTTCTCCTTGCCTGTGACATTCTACTATCTATCTTCAAGTGAGGTACTGTGCAAATGACTGTGTTCTCCATTTCCCGTGCCATGCATCATCATTGTTCAATAGTATAGCTATTATGGCAGAGCAGGGTGATGTTGGAATTCCACATTATATATGTAGCTAACACTGACAGTATTTGGATGAGATGAGCTCCTTAAAATGATTTCCATGTTTTTAAACTGACAGAAGCTTAGGGGAAACTAAGAAACGGGTGATCCCACTGCCCACTGACTGGTGGCCGAGCTTTACATTCATCACAGATTTATACACAGCTGTATCAGTCAGCTAATGTTCATTTTTGTTGTAGCTAAGAATGCAGTGTTTTGTTGGCTTTGTTTATTACAGCTGTGCAATCTGACTGAGCCCGTGGAAACATTTCACGCACAACATTACTACACATTTATTTTTCAGGTCACGAAGGAAGCAGAAAACTTAACCATAACACTTCTTCAAAATGATTCAGTGATATTTTCTAGCATGAATGAATAATATGACCAATGTATGCCTCAACAAATACCACGGAGAGCGTTGTATCGTTTCATTTCAGTCTCTTACAGTTTGCAGTAGTGGATTGTTAGACGAAACAAACATTTTTGTTAGTAACACTGTCACGAATCCGATCTCAGTTGAGAAGGAGGTCGGAGAATTACTGTTTGCACTAGACTTGTACATAAAACCAAGCGATGAGTGCAGGAGTGCAGTTACTCTGTTCTTGTGTTTGTACACTTTGGGACTCTGTGGCACAGACAACGAAGACTACCGGCCGACAGCAGCTGAATGTATGGAGATCAGAGACTTCATCTGTGAAACAGAGTGGAAGAAAGCTGCAGACCTGCTGACATTGACCGGACGTCCACCTCTACCTGACTGCTCAACTTTTGGTGATGAGGGACTGGAATGTGATTATGGTAGGCTTACCTATGTTGCTTAACAGTTTTTTTATCACATAATTTCTAGTTTCAGCAATTGGCATCAATAAGACTGCCTGCAAAATTGAATGCCACGAGTATTTTTACTGTGAAAACAATTTTTGCAAGCCACGCTGTGATCGATTCACTGACCATCCAATATCATACAACAGAGTGTCTGATGCTCTAATGATCACATCTGCATGTGTTGGCTTTCTCAGTGGTATGGGAGTGTTAGCTGTGTTTCTTCTACGACGCAAGTCTTTGTAAGCAGTCTGAAATTGTATAGCTCTGTGTAAACATGTGTCTTTCTAACAGGATGAAATTTCCAACCATCTTGGTTTTGTATACAACAGTTACTGTCCTTTATGTGGGTAAGTTGTTTGTTGTAAAATGTTTTCATTGCTTAGTAAAGCAAGAAAACCAAGGCATCCAAATGTGATTTTTGACAGCATGGGAGTATGTATAATACGCATCTGTAGTCCCTACACTTTGAATTGTGATTGATAAATTTTTATCCCATTTATCAGAGGTGGTGATTTTGGTTTCATTTATGAATCAATTGAGGCTGTTCTGCAGTTCAATTGACCTTGTGGAGAGTTTTGACAGACCTACAGCCTACTGCAAGTTTACAGGTATAACTACAGTACATCCCGAGTAGTGTTGGTGCTTTTAATTATTATTCAGTATCGGTACGTGTTTTTCATGAAGTGCCACCAGAAAATGGTTTTTTGCAGGTGTTGTTGAGTCATACAGCATCAATCAAGGGATTCTCTGGTGGTTTTTCAACATTTGTGCAATATTTTGGAAAGTCCAGTTCCCGTTTCACGCCAGATACTATATGACAAGACCAATAAAACAAAGTACATCCACATAATATGTGTCATCTCGGCCCTCGTACTTCCCATCATTTCTCCAGTTGCCATATCACTCAAAGGGGGCTTCACAATCTCCAGGTTTCCACCTGTAGTTTGTGTCGGGAGGGATGTTGATGCGAATTTTTACACCGTCGTGCTACCCACCACTTTTATATGTGCACTGGGGACTACTCTCCTCCTCGTTATATTTTGAAACATAAGAAGAGTGAGGCATTTTGCATTCTTAAAAGGGAATGTGACAGTATATTATACGTAAGTGCTAAATTTAGAAATGTTAAACAATAGGGTTCAGTGAAGGATTCCTTTTCTAAATTTAGCCCTTTTATAGCACCACATTCACTTTAATGGCACCGCAGTATCTACACCAGTTTGGGCCATAGTGTGTAAGTATCTCTGTTCTCTGATTTTATTTTTCTTCAGCACATGAGTAGTAAGCGCAAGGACTCCAGACGTCCTGCATTGTTTAGTCCAGCTGAGCGCAAGATTTTCATTGTGTTTCTGTATTACCTCCTTGCGGGAGCACTGAACCTGACCACCTTTTCACTTTACGTCAGGGACATCGCTTACAACTTCACTGCACTAGCTGACTACTTCAGTTGCCAGCGATCAGGTCTTAACGATTCTTGTACCCTTGGTACAAAGAAATATCCATTGTGGGCATTGTTTTCTTTCATTGTCATCTTCTTGTTCCCTGTTGTTAACCTTTACTTTTCTTTGAAATTGGATGACTTTAGAGTCCTGTTTAAATTTTGCATTCGTTTTGTAAAACGGTGCTCCTCAAAGCCCAGCAGCAAAAGTTTAACCAAATCATAATTATAATGTGTTTTGTATAAAGTAAAATGCTGGGTTGTTGTAATGCTAACTTCCGTACTCTCGCGATGGAACAGCACACACATGTGAACATACAAATGCTCCAAGCAGTGCTTGATGAAAATTATAAGGCAGAAGTTGATACAATAAACCTGATTACGCATGCAAACTGAAGGGTATATATAGCGTTACCCTTTTAATCAGTCACATGTAGTCTTTTTGCGCCGGAACATTTTCTGCTTGAGCTTCTTGAACCAGCTCTTCTTAGTAGCCGCCACTTCTGGCTGCTCTCCAGTGGCCTTGTTTCCAGTCACGAGTGTCTCAGTGGTGTCGAGGAAATCTGAACTGTCCACTGAAGTGATGCTCAGGAGACTTGAAGAAACGGCCAAACACGTAGTAGCAGTGTTCTCCACTGTTTCAGTGTGAGTGAAGGATGAAAGAGTTGGTACACACTTCTGATCAGCTGTAGTGGAATCAGCGGGGAGAGTGTGGATGCTGTCCATGTCGGAGTAAACTGATGGCAAGCTTGCAGACAGAGATTTCGGACTGTTTGGCGGAGCGAGAGGCGTGGAGGCAAAATATAAAGGCTTTTGCTGGTCTTGTGAAAAGGGGCGGACAAACACCAGTTTAGCCATCGGCAGTTCAATCGGTGCTTTACTCCCCACCAATTCATGTTCTACCTCCTTCACCATTTCATGCTCCACCTCCTTCTTGAAGTCTTCCGTGTTCTGTCCGAGTCCAAGAGTAGTGTGGGCGGCATTCAGAATGGCGAGGTAGGCAAACCTCAGCTGCTCGGAGGTCTGGACAAGCCCAAGTCTCTGCATCCGCAAGTCAAGCAGAGTGTCGTTGACGTTCAGTCCGTCGAGGGTCCCGGCACGTTCAATGAAAGACAGGCACACATCGACTAGTGTGAACACCCCCGAACGACCAACACCTGCACTGCAGTGGACAATTGCTGGACCCACATTCGGCCCCAGGACACCAGAGTTGCGGACTGCCAGCAAGAAGCGAACAAAGGCTGCCTCGTTCTGTGGCACCCCGAAATCTGGCCAGGAGTTGTAGTGGAAGTGGAGGAGTGTGCGAGTCTCCTGAGTCTCCAGGTTATGGATCTCCAGAGAGGACACAGTGTAGAAGTCACTTCCTGTGCGCTCGCGGCACTCCACCATGAAGTAGCCGGCAATCACACAGCCATGAACTTCCTTGGGCCAGTACTGAGCACACTTTTCGCTGCCATCCTCGCACCGAGACAGCATGACTATCCCAGTGCTCCCGTGCTCCCAGGCCATCTCCCAGAAGTGACAGATGGTGTTGCCCAGCGGACCCTGGGTGACGATGTAGCTACACTCGACTTCCTCCACCGAGACGTAGCTGGCATTGATGTAGTCATTGCCGCCACCAGAGAGCTTGACTCGATTCTTGACGTACGGGAGGACAGTCCTGTACCGGTTGCGGATGTGGCACTGTGGATTGATGTACAGCTCCAGGCCTGGGTCCTGGAACACCATTTGATTCTCCAACTGTCGGTACAGACCTTTCCAGGTGTCTGTCCTGCCACCGTTCTCGGGGCCATACTCATGGGCAAAAAACTCCCTCTCGATCAGCGACTTGTCACTCCAGAAACTCTCCATTCTTTTCTTGAGCGATAGTAACGGCCTACCGTTCTGTAAAGGAGGGAATATGCCAGCTAAACAATGCAATGTAAGAAATATACTAACTCACCTGGTGCTCCTTCTTTCCAGATTTGGTGACGATCTTGGCAGTCTCAGCCTTAGATACCTACATCATTGACATGTGCACAGTAACGTAGTAGCTGCATGCAAAGGAGGCTCCTTACCAAGAGAATGTTGCGTTTCTTGGAGATATTCGACTCATTGCTGCCACCGAGCTTGGATTTCACAGCCTCCAACAGATCCTCACACTCGCAGACCTACAGGATACAGGGCTAGCTACACTGTTCTTGTGCGGCACAGAACGACTAGATAGCTATACCTCTGTCACCTCCTGGGAACGTCTAGGCGGCATCAGCCCGCATTCCTGAGAATGAGACAGGGATGATAATCAAAGAGTAGGGACTCTTAGAACTTTTACCTTTCCACGAGTCACTCCGGGTTTGACCGGGGAAAGGGTATCCGAGCCGCAGTCTTGCGGGATCGGATGAATTCGCCGTCTCCGACCAACCACACGGCGAAAAACACTCGCCAGCAGAAATACTGAAGAAAGCACCATGGATGAAACGTGGCTCCTCTCTCGAAATGCTTCGCAACTCAGAAAGAGCAGTCAACAAAGAGTCGTACGCGTCCGTGATTGCGCGTCGTTCCCCTTGACGCGCATTATTGTACGCATGCGCAGTAAAGACGACGCATGCAGCGGCGCGTAGCGTTTCAACGGTGATGTCGGTTTGTAAAAGATACTGGTTTGCAGACAAACTGGTCGCATTATATTACAGTGTGTGAATTTACATCCATGAACGTTCTAGGGCCTAGAAAATGAAAAACGTGTGATGTGATATTAGTTAGTCTCTGTTAGCCCTTGTGCAAGGGAAGAGAGCCTGTCTCAGCCTCTTGAACCAACTCCTTTTCTTCTTCCTCTTTCCTGACTGTGTCTGTGTTAGAGTTGACGAGTTTTCTTCCATCGGAGTTACGTTCACAACCACGTTTTCAGCCAGCATGGGTTGTGGGAGCTCAGTTTCAGTTACAATCTCAACTCCACCGCACTGAGGCTCAGGCAGAGAGACATCTTCAACCACCACTACTTGAGGGAACTGTGGCAGCTGGGTCATTGACTCAGTCACAATGCCATCATCGTTGTCTGTCCCAGCCTCAATTGAAGCTTCCACAACAGCAACGACCACCCGATTGAGCTGTGAGGCTTGATGAAGTGTGGTGTTGTCCTCTCCCGGCAGTGAGTCACAGGCCAAGTCAGGCTGGCACACCACCATCTGTTCAGTCTGGTCTTCAGCAGTTCTTGTATCTGGGTCCAGTGGTGGTACGGATGTGTCTTTGCCCAGTAGGTCACACTCAGGCACTGGTGATGCCATGCTGGCTGTATCTTTACCGACTGCTGATTGTTCGGCGTTGGATGGTTTAGCTGCAGATTCATCCACTGCGGCCTCGGTTGACTCAACTTGGTCTTCAGTGCCAGCCATCTCTTCCCTTGAATCACGTGCTGTGGTCTTGTCATCAGCCACTGCTGGCATTTCCAACTGTGGCTGGACTATTACAAACTTGGCAGCTGCCACTGGAGTATCAGGGAGAGGCGGGAGAAAGATTCCACGGTCTTCGGGAGTCAGTTCCACAAACGGAGCCACGTGGGATTCCCCCAGATCCAGTGGGCGACCAGGAGAAGAGGGATACTCCCAGTCTGGAAGAAGCAGAGATGATTGATGAACAGAGTGCTCAGAGAGCAGCTGTGTTTGATTTGTTTTGGGAGAGGTGTTGGTCCACCTCGAACTCAGTCGACTCATCTCTTCCTCTATGAGAGAGTCGGTGAAGTTGTCCATGTCTCTCACGAGGTCATTGACACTGCGCCCCAGGTTGAGTCCATAGCAGGCAGTGTTGAGGATGGTGGTGTAGGCAAAGCGCAGCTCTTCACTCGTCTCGACCAGTCCCGGACGCTGCCGGCGCAGCTTGGAGAGCAGACTCCCAATGTCAACGGTGCCCACACCTCTCGCACCTTCAATCCAGGAGAGTGCGACGTCGCACAGAGTAAACACACCAGAGCGACCGGTACCAGTGGCGCAGTGAACAATGGGTGGCCCAACACCCGGTTGCATGACGCCCGACTCTCGAACGACCATCAGGAACTCGCCAAAGGTGTGTGGGTCCTCAGGCACACCACCAAACTCGGGCCAGGCAAAGTAGTGGAAGTGGAGCAGTTCAAACGTCTCCCCAGCCTCCAGGTTGTGCAGCCTGAGCCTGGAGACGCAGAAGCACTCGCTCCAGTCGCTGTTGATGCATTCGACCACTAGGGAGCCGGCAAGGAGTGGGTCGCCCCCCATCGTTGGCCAGTAATGAGCACACACGTCTGCGTCGCCCTCGGCACACTTGCACAACATTACGATCCCCACGCTGTGCTGCTCCCAGACCATCTGCCAGAAGTTGGCGACTTTATTGTCCAGCGGAGCCTGGGTGACGATGTACTGCCAGCTCACTTCCTCGATCCTCACGAGGCTGCTACTGAAAGAGCCGTTGTCCGAGTCAGCCAGCTGGACACGTGTCTCTCCGTAAGGTAGGACACCCCCACAGCGGTTTCCCGTCCTTGTCCAGTGAGCTGGGGCACACTTTCAGCTCAGAGTCTGTCCCCGAAAGTTTGTGGAAGAGCATGCTCCATCCGTCCTCCCTGTTGCCCGTCTTGAACTCGTGGGCATAGAACTGACTCTCGATGAGGGGCAGAGTCAGCCAGAAGACGTCTGCCTTCCTCTTACCCTCCCTTGAGAGGGTGAAACCCACCTGGAATCAAATTTTTATCATTACAATAGAGTGGAGTTAATCTGATTATCTTACCGAGGAGACCCTGTGCTTGTTCTTCTTGTGTTTTCTTGTCATCTTCACACAGTCATCAGTGGGCATAGCTCCAGGGGAGTCATGTACTTCCTCCTCGTTTCTCTTCTACAAATCAGCATTGATAAACGCTACAGACACACAAGGTTTTCTACTCACAGAAAGAAGAACAGTTTTGCTTGGGGGTTTAGCTTTGCACTTTTCGGATTTGAACCCCTGCACCAGAGCATTCATAGGTGGTACATACTTTATTGAGATGTCTAGGCTTACCGGAATGACACTCGTCCCCAGGGGAGTGGCCTTGTTGATCAGACCATTCTGGGAGGAATGAGGGTTGCATCAGGTCAAATGTATTACACACACCTGAGTGAATCTCACCCCTGGTGTCGTCACTTCAGAAGATGGTTCCTTGCTCAGTGACTCATCACTCACTTCTTGTTTCTCTTCACTCTCCTTGTCCTCCAGACAAGGGACCACTGGATGATTCTTTGGCGGTGGGGGCAGATCCAAACCCCTCATTTCAGAGGTTGCTGTGCCACCAGCCTGCTCTTTGGTGTGAGCTTTTAGCTCCTGCAAGGGAAAAAACGGCAGAAACGATTATGACAAGGTTTACTGCGAGTTTGATGCAACTTATATTAGCGTCGGCGACGCGTCCGTCGCGTCCCCCTTGTTCTTCCACTCTCTGCGACATTTTGCGATCAGAACAACTAGTGTTTGCAACGCGTATCTTTCGCAGAAGAAGCAGAAGAAAAGCTGCGATCATAGCAGTGAAAACGGTCAATAAACCTCTCTCGATCTCTGCACGAAGTATCCGACATCCAACACTTCGCAAAGTGCCGCGTGCGTGCTCCGCGCGTCGGTTTCCCTAGACGCGGGGAAAACTGCGCATGCGCGTAAGGTATCGACGCATCCCACACCGGGATTTGAAAAGTCTCCACTCCATGCTGATGTAGAAGGTTTACTCGCTAAATTTTAGAACAAGACAGTGTCGAAAAGTATCTAGCTGCTGAAGTATGCTGCTCGGGGAAACCTTCACCGCCTCGTAACGACTCTGGACCGCTGCAGCATGCAACACTCTCAAGGTAGAACGCAGCTGGGGCTCCCGATGAACTCGCTGAGAAGAACAAATTCAAACAAGTTGATTCTGGTGCTGCATAGCTGGCCTAACTCAAGGAAACGCTCCATTCTCGATTAATTCTATTGACATACCGAACGGTGAATGGTCGGCACCGCTCAGTACTGGCTTGTGGCGAGAGGTTGCCAGACATTTTTGTCCAAGTGTGATAGGAAGATGGACTAGTAGAAGCCATAGAGGTGAAAACTTCCCGCTATCCTTATACAAAAAAACTATTGGTCACTACTATTGTGTGTGACTCGTTCTGACAGAGCTGCCCAATTAGCTCAGTGGTAGAGCATCAGACTTTTAATCTGAGGGTCGCGGGTTCGACCCCCACATTGGGCTGTGAACTTTGTTTATCAGAATAATTACACGGATGAGCAGAAAATTGACCTAGATATTTAGTTTTGTTGTAATACGGAATATTGCGTAATGGGGCTTTCGGTTCGGCTTACAGCTGCTGGTTAGTCCTTCACCATGACATTGGTATTGAAAATGTTCACAAACACATACATTGTACTTAATACACACTATAATAAACCGGTCTGTAAGGAGAAAACTGTCAGACTCAGGCCATCTCCTGGTAGCCACCACGTCTTCTTCTGTGGAGACACATGTTCACAGCATTGACTAGTGCCACTCTACAGCCACGTGGGTTGGAGTGGTATCCACAACGTCTCATAATGTAGGAAGTCAGTTTATAGCCAGCCCACACAAACACCAGGATGTGAGACACGAGAGGAATGAGGATCATTGCTACTTCCAGTGTTTCAGTTGGTGTGAAAAAGTCAGTAAACCACAAATGTCTCATGCAGTACAGTCCTCCAAGCAGTAATACATTGAAACTCAGTGAGACATTAGCAATAGTAGACTTGCATGGCTGTATGTAGGTGAAGATGCAACATATAGCAATGAATATCATGGCATCAGATAAGTTTCGACTGAAACCAATTCTTGTTAAGATAATCTCTCTGACACCATCAAAGATGATTGGGACTAATGTAATCAGCCCAGCCAGTGCCCTGTAGTCTCTGGTTCCGTTCAGACCATCTTTGAAGCATACTTGGAGAGCTTCAGCAAATGCTGTGATGGCCAGTTGCTTTCTGGCACTGATACACCTTGAGAGATATCCATATATCCTTGTCGGGTATATGATATGGAAAACTGAGGGAATCACTGTCAGAAAGACAAAAGGCACTAGAGCTATCAGTAAGTATTGGGCATACTGATAGCTTGGCCACTCCAGTGTTGGATCATGGTAGAGAGATTGTCGGTACAGAGTTGAATCTTCCCTGCGTATCTCTATACTCTCAAAAAGGCTTCCCGTGGTAGCATACACAGCCACATTTGAGAGGAAGATGAATGAGGCAAAGGCATGAATGACTGCATCTCCAGTCACTGGTTTGATGCCCATCTTGTCTAGAATGATGGTGAACCGCTTCCATATTATCTGGATCACTTTGCAGTTCTTAGCATGTAGGTACGCGAAGATAAAAATGACAATGAGGAGTAAATTGGATAAGTTGCTGGTACTAAACTGAGCAATTGAATGTGGATGTCACTTAGTTTCTCACTGATACAAAATGGTGGGACAGCAGGTATTACATATTGCAAGCTCCAGAACCTGAGAAATGTCAGGGAAATTTTAAACATCACTTGGAGATGTGGTGATATGTGGTACTGAATGTACTCATATATGTAGGCATTCTGTTTAATCGACAACAGGTATACCTGACAGAATATTACATACCCTAATAAAGGGCCAGATGTGATGTTGAACTTGAACAAGGCTACAGCTAAGAAGAACAACGTAACTGGAAAAAGCTGTAGTACCAAGTATAGAGGAATGGAGTAATATTCTGAGAGCTTTGAGCAATTGGCACATTTCAAGTCAAGGACGTCGGCTGTGGGACCATATCCATCAATACATTCTCCACACAGCAGACCTTTTCTGTTGTAAGGTCCACACATCACATCATCCAGCAGGCCAGGATCACTAGGCATTTCAGAATATATCCCTGTTGGTGTTGTTGACTGTGTGTCTGAATGGACATATGCCAATATAGTACTGGTCCCTCTTCTCCAGCAGATGTGGCACAGGTTCCATCTCCAATCTCAACATTCTTGTTACTGGAACACAACAGTCCATAACCCACAGTGGCACTGCTGTGTGGTGTTGTCATAGTAGAACCAGCTGGGGCAGCTAGTGTTGGTAGCCAACACCGATAGAGCTGTGACACAAATGCAGCACCAGGCTAACCAAGAGAGAGGCATACTTAGTGGCAATCTCTGTGAAGCTGGATAGAAAGTCTGTGTACTTTTTATCAATACAAGGAATTTGTAAACTCCAACATTTGTTTTCATTATTGTTCCATGTTTTGTTAGCACCGTTATAAAAAACACCAATTTCCTGAATGAGAGATTTCACACACTTTATAGAGTGGATGGTGTATTTTTACTCGCTTAGCTATATATACTTTCAGGTCTTTTGTCTTTTCTGCATGCTTACTGAACTCCACAGAATAGTTGTATGAAGGAGCTCTCAGTTAAACAACTACATAACTGTTTACCACAATACTCAAAACTGTCAAATACTTTGATTTGCCCCCTTGTCTGGTGATGTACTTGCTATGCTCTTCCCATACAGGCAATCTCCACCCACTGTCCATCCACTAACTGGTAAATGGAGTTGACTGTCAACACCCTTCCCTGGCCACCTATGATTACGGTAGAGAGTGGCTGCTGTTGAATCTCTCACTGATAGAAGAGGAAGAGATCCACCATGTACTTCGGTAGTAATATAGCTAGACCATTAGCCAACTACAGCTACGAGCTCTTACCTTCAGCCATAATCACTAGGGAAAATGTGTAACTACATAGGTAAAATAGCTGAATGCAATCGACATGGGTGGCCGAGGATAAAATAATCACCAGGGACTCCCTCCCTCCTCAGAGGCGGATCCAGCATACTATGGATTGTATACTTGCGCATGCGCAGGTAGGGCCTCAGAGAGGGGGCGCGGTTAGTGTATTTCCGACGTGCGTGTTACAGTGCGTGAACTTTTGGGGCGCGCTGCTTGTCCTGTGGCGGTGCGCTAAACGTACATAATCATCTGGGGTGACAACGTGATTTTCAGGTCGGTGTCAGTGGTCCGCTCCTTGCTTGAAACAGGGGGTTGCAACCCCCTTAACCCCCTCCCTGGATCCGCCCCTGACTCCTCCGGTCGCATTGCAGTAAACGAAGTAGCTAGCTGGTAAAATCTTATGTGATCCTCACACACTTCATGGGCCATTATTATTGCATAGCTATAGTTAGGAGGCAACATAGTCAAATAATAGGCATTCGTGCGCCTTCTTCAAGTCATTTGGCTAAAAACAGCTAGCTAGCTGTCTTGCAGAAAAGTAAATGACAGCATTACCCGCTAACTCGGTTGGCTCAGCTCATGATAGACACCTTGTTAACTATTGTCCCATGATTCTCTGTAAGACCTGCCCATGCAACCACAACTGTGTATAGCTATGAACATAAAACCTAGCATTGGGATCAGAGAGTTGATGACCAGGATCCAGAATTCAGCAGTGAATACCGTGCCACAAACGACAGAGCCAGTTTGCAGAAAATTGGTTGGGTCATTGTTATCCAAAGCCTATGACAAGTACTATACCAAAGCCACTCACATAAAGTGAGTGTGCCCACAGGGGAGGGGCGTATGCAAACAACACTGCAGTTTACAAAACCATAACAGTTGTGTCACAAACACAATCTAGTGGAGCATTATAGTGAACCATAAACTTTCCATGGGTACGGTAATAAGAATGTCCAAACAGAAAGTCATGAGACAGGGGTGAGGGCAGTGTTCCCTCTCTGTCTCCTCTCTCCTGCCACTGAGTCGCGAGCTCTGCTGAGTGATAACAGGAGAGAGTTCCCTGGGCTCAATTCACTCCTTTGGTTCCACTCCCCCCTCTCATCATCCACCTCTTTCTCCTCCTCTCCGTCACCCTCCTCATCTTCTTCTTCGTCTCTCTCTCCTAAAGATGTGGTAAGGGAGTTCGATCTACCTCCTGTGTTGAGTGGTTGTGCTGACATAGCACTCAGAAAGTTTCCTCGAGTCCAGCCATAGGCAAGGGCATTCATAAACCCTTGAGATGGGGCCAACAATGCCTGCGTATAAAAAGTCGTTGTTTGTATTTGTTAGTAGGTATAAATATAGATACCTCAAGGAGCAGCATGATGTACAGATCTTCACGAACGTGGTGGATGTTTTTATGGGACCTTTTGCCAACAAACTGTAGAATAAAGTACTGCATTCCGAATGAAAATGCTGTGCAAAAAACAGTCAAGATTTGTTTCTATCAAACTAGCTATGTCACTCACTCATTGCTCCACTTATGAAATAAGCAAAGAAAAAGATAAGTACCCTCTTCTTTGCATCCTTGTGTGCGGCCAGAATCATAGCCTGAGTGGCTCCATTTAGAGGGGCGTTCTCGTTATTTTCTGAGACGAATTACATACAGCTACCAGATTTTGCATCACAAATTAATTTTTTGCTCACTTTTTGTTAGTATCATTCGTCTAATTCGGCAAAAAGCTTTCAAGTAAATCACTACCATACAGCAGAACACAGTGGTAAAGTTAGCAACAAGAACCGCAGAATAAGCAGTTACGTAGTCGTGTAAGTGGTGTAAATACATGTCTCCCTCCTGCAGGAGTACCATACAATGATACAACCAGTAAAACATAAACTAATGTAGTACTTGGCCATTCCCATAACCCGTTTTTCCTCGAGGCAGTAGGTTCCCATAGTAAGGCAAGCACCTGGAGTGATGAAGTGAAAATAGTATATCAGCCGACAAAGGAGTGTTTCAATTACCAGCAGGAGCAGTTGTTGGCCTTTTCAACAATGTTGTACCGTTGAGCTATTACTCCAAATGGAATCATGACCAGAGGAATAGGTAAAGTCCTGTAAGAGAGTGCTAAGAGTGAAGATGAGCTTAGTTAGCATAATTATAGCAACCAGGCAATGAAGTAGGCAGCGAAAGAACAGAGAGGGGACCACACTTTGACAGACGCTGCTCTCTCCCGAAGCATCTACACAAGGGATGGCATTCCCAACAGTGACAATGTATGTAAACAACCACAATCTAACTTTCAGTTACAATGTATGTAATTATGCTCAATGACTTTAAGTTATATGCCCAAACTCACATATACACCACTAAAGTCTCTCTGTTTGATACTGGAGTAGGCCAGGAGGGCATAGATGAGAGTCACATTCATTGCAACACACTGAAAAATCTGTTTCACATAGCAAAAGTTCCTTCAGTGTGACAATAATATACTGGTAGAAAGATTGCTCACCACAGTCATACAGTTGATGGCGTAGCAACCAACTCTGAGGTCGTGGTAATGACTGAGTCCTCCTTTTAGCCACACCAGTCCTCCACTGATCCACAGAATACTCAGCACAGTGTCCACAATTGACAGGACGAATATTGGATGCACCTGTATGGACAGATGCTATGTAGCGGTTGTTTACTCATCATTGTTGGCTTACTTTCGGATTGCAGACAGTTTTTCTGTATACAGCTGAACCAATTATAGACAGTGCTCCAACAATACTACAGAAGCGAATGTAGTAGGTATGCGCACTGAAGATGCTCACTACTCACCTCAACAAAGCCATAATGAGCCTCAGGGACGCAACCACGTCAAACCGCCCTCTCTGTATAAATAGCTTCGGTGAGCATTTATGACTTCACACCAAAAAATCATTTCTCAACCTCTACTGTTTCCATATAGCAGTCGAGATGACATCCTTCTCCATGCGAAGAGTTCGACCACTCCATGTATATGTTGCGGCTCACTGCCCGGCCCGCACCGCTCTTTGCTATTGCGCATGCGTAATAACAAAGCAGGTGGTCGGCCTGCAAAGATCGTGCAGCGTGGTGTAGCGCTGAACCTGTTGGTGTCGCTTTTTGGCCGGTTTGTTGCGCGTGGTGGCAGAAAACGTGGTAACAGACACACACACTGTCTTACACAAACTGAAATGCGTATATTCAGAACAGTTTGTTGGCCTTTGTGTACAGCTATACTAATATGACAAGTTACCCCTTTACCACATGGTGCATTGCACTCTGACAAGCCGGTATTCAAAAAGGCAATCATGATCCTCGTCCAAATAGTAGGTGAGGGTATATACTGTCACCATAATGTTACTCAGTGAACCACTGAAATATTTATAGCAGAGCTAGTGATCTGCAACTATAATATTGGACTCGCATTCGCTTTGCTAAAACTGTGTTGTGCTTGTTCTGTTTTGTTGCGTGTTTGTTTGTTCTCTGTTTGTAATTTAAAAATCACTGTTGTCTATCATCTCACTACTACACTCTGCACATGAGGACTTTAGCTGGTCAACTACGGCAGTATAATTATACAGTGACATTAAAGAAGTGGTTGGAGGTGGCCAAAAAAGAATATGGTGTAGTTGCCTCCGTTATGAAGATCTGTCACATTTTGGCTGGTAGTGGAGCCAAGAATTTGAAGGCTTGTTGTTAGCTATGGTGCATGTTTAGAGTCCAGGCAGTTTCCCAGTCACAGTCAGAGTGTGGGTGCATTGTGCAGTCACTGGGTCATTCACTACAGTCTTGGTTCCATGGGTGACAGTGGTGGAGTCTCTGGTCCAAGTGACAGTGGTAGCAGGTCCACCAGTTGAGATACAGGTGAGGGTGAACTGAGGACTTGGTCCATTGAGATTAGAGTCCACAGTCAGTGTCACGTGCCCTGATACCAAAATATCTCCTAAACATTAGGGGGGGAAAATCATATTCAGTGGTATATACATGCATGAGCGAATACATCCACCAGCATACAGTCCCACATACACCATCACTCTCACTGAGCTGTTGTTATCATGGACTCCATTTGTGGGAATATCGCAGCGATACAGACCAAATGGTGACGCAACGTTCCTTTTTCGATACAGATCAACTCCCTGAGCTCCACGAGACTCATGCACATCTCCAGTGAAAGACAATCTAGATCCACTCGGGAAAAACCAGTCTCCACGATGTGTACCATCAGTAATCCGACAACAAGTACTTAGGTCAGTGATACACTGCACACCATTACCACTGCCTGCACTTCCCACTAGACTGAGGTCCACATAGGAATGGTTGGCCAGAGTCTGACTCATGAAGGAGACTTAAGGAAAGGTCTGAGAGCGGCCGGACCTCAACCAGAGAAGAGAGGAGAATACTCAGACACAAGGCAACCACTAACATTACTGACGCCGCCAGAAATGACTCAGTGTGACAGTTGTACTGCAGGTGTGCAGGACTGAATTGCACAACTGTTTGTTCAGCTGCTTCATAACCAACTACATAATTACAGCTATATGGCCCCCACATCATGCCCAGTATGATGACTTAGAAGTGTATCAGGCTCTATATCTACTGCAAAAAAGTTCAGTTGCATTCCAGTTACAGCATAATTCATGGTGGGAGATGATCGTACAGTCCATCATAGAAAAAGATGCATGCTCCATTTTTCATGTCTGCTCCACTACAGATGTAGGACCTCACTATAGTTTTGGTAGCTATTTTTAACCCCGCACCACCGCACGTGCATGCACAGCAGGGTAAAGCGATCTGCCTTGGTGTCCCATCATGCAAGGTACAAACTACCTACCACAACCTCAAAATAAACCCATCCAGCCGTGTTTAATACACACTCTTACAGTCGAAAATCTAAGAATGTTAAGGAGAAGAGTCCTCTTTAAGCATGGCAAGTGTTAGTATGACAGGATAATCTGGATAAGCGACGCAAACTACGGCAAACTTTTCAGCTGATGGGAGAGAATGAAGAATGTTTCTATTAAGAAGTCAAAGAGAAAACAGTATTGTGTAATTATTAGAGCGTCGGTATAATATTATTATATATAGGCGCTCTAAATTGGGGTGGCAAATCTAACGTGATCAACGTACAAAATACCTAAAAATTGGCGAGAATGACTCTTCATGTTCTTCAGTCGTCATGGTTTTCAATGTGTGGAAGAGAACAGTTTGTGATGACAGTTCCCTCAGTTTCATTGTGGCTTCATTAAGGTAAACAACTCTACATCACCTTCAGTGTTTTTGCCTCTGGGCACAGCTCTTTGAAAACTAACACAAGTAAGACAGCTAAAGGGTTTCTGCTATTCAAAAACAGAATCACAATAATAGGCCAACAACATCCATGGATAAAACATTGCACACCAATGCTGTCTGCAAAGATAGCTACCAATGTCTCTGTCTTTGTTCATTTATGTTAGTGTCTCAACTGCAGTGACTTTGTCCCAGGGCTCAGTGTTGGCCACCAACACCAGCTGCCCCACCTGGTCCTACTATGACAACACCACACAGCAGTGCCAGTGTGGATGTGGACTATTGTGTTCCAGCAATAAAAATGTGGAGATTGCAGATGGAACATGTGCCACATCTTCTGGAGAAGAGGACCAGTACTATATCAGTCGTTGTCCATTCAGACACACAGTCAACAACACCAACAGGATACACTCTGCTATGCCTAGTGATCCTGGCCTGCTGGATGATGTGATGTGTGGACCTTACAACAGAAAAGGTCTGCTGTGTGGAGAATGTATTGATGGATATGGTCCCACAGCCGACGTCCTTGACTTGAAATGTGCCAATTGTTCAAAGCTCTCAGAATATTACTCCATTCCTCTATACTTGGTACTACAGATTTTTCCAGTTACGTTGTTCTTCTTCATTGTAGTCTTGTCTAAGTTGAACATTACATCTGGCCCTTTACTGGGATATGTAATATTCTGTCAGGTATACCTGATTCGGATTAAACAGAATTTGTTAATGAATGAATACATGTCACCACATCTCCAAGTGACGTTCAAAATTTCCCTGACATTGTCTCAGTTCTGGAGCTTGCAATATGTAATACCTGCTGTCCCACCATTTTGTATCAGTGAGAAACTAAGTGACATCCACATTCAATTGCTCAGTTTAATACCAGCAACTTATCCAATTTTACTCCTCATTGTCATTTTTATCTTCGCGTACCTACATGCTAAGAACTGCAAAGTGATCCAGATAATATGGAAGCGGTTCACGATCATTCTAGACAAGATGGGTATCAAACCAGTGACTGGAGATGCAGTCATTCATTCCTTTGCCTCATTCATCTTCCTCTCCAATGTGGCTGTGTATGCTACCACGGGAAGCCTTTTTGATAGTATAGAGATACGCAGGGAAGATTCAACTCTGTACCGACAATCTCTCTACCATGATCCAACACTGGAGTGGCCAAGCTATCAGTATGCCCAATACCTACTGATAGCTCTAGTGCCTTTTGTCTTTCTGACATTGATTCCTTCACTTTTCCATATCATATACCCGACAAGGATATGATATCTCTCAAGGTGTATCAGTGCCAGAAAGCAACTGGCCATCACAGCATTTGCTGAAGCTCTCCAAGTATGCTTCAAAGATGGTCCAATGGAACCAGAGACTACAGGGCACTGGCTGGACTGATGCAACTATTTCCAATCGTTCTTAGTTTACTCAGAGTAGTGATTTTCAAAGAGACTTATTAATTCCAGTCACAGTATGGGTGAAGCCATCAACTTTGTTGTTATGTGTTGTATCGTGTCCTATATCCAGCCATGCAAGTCAGCCATTGCCAATATCTCACTCAGTCTTAATGTATTTCTGCTTGGGAGTCTTTGCATCACGGAACACTGGTGGATCAGCAACTTGTACATAGCAACAGAAACACTGGAACTGATGTTTATCCTCATTCCTCTCATGTCTCACATCCTGGTGTTTGTGTGGGCTGGCTATAAACTGACTTCCTACATTATGAGACGTTGTGGATACCACTCCAACCCACGTGGCGTTAGGGTGGTACTAGTCAATGCTGTGAACATGTGTCTCCACAGAAGAAGATGTGGTGGCTACCAGGAGCTGACCTGACACAGACACATTTGTACTGTTGTTGCTAACATAATGCTAATTGTGTGCATGCTCACATAAAGACTGTGTGTTTGTTATTCGCACTAACAATGAAAGTGCAAACCCTCGGCGAACTGCGCATGCGTGGTACCGCTAATGTGCTATTGGCGTTTACTCGCGGTCTCCCGCTAGTAACTCGCAGAGAGTCTGACACGGGCGGGCAAGCTACAGTAGTAGATGGCATGCGGTAGTCGATACACACCCATCGCTGTGGCTTCTTGTAGGTACACAGAGCAAGCGGATCAGGTCGAGGTGAGCCGGCCAGTTGATCGCGTCTAATACACCGCTTATTGGGCCACGCACCGCTGTGAGCGACCGTGCCAGTTTGTTGCTCTCGAACGCAGTCGTTTCAGCAAAATCGCCATTTTAGTTTTCTAGCCCATGTACCGCTAAAGCTGTTGGCATCGCTCATAAGCCGCCTTGTTGCCTGTAGTGCGGGAATAGTCGTAGACAGACAGCTAGACAGACACACAGACAGACAGCTACAGACACACAGAACGACCCTCGCTGCGCATGCGCGCCGAGGGTTAACTATCCTTTCACACACGCTACATGATCACCTCCACACATGGCAAGGACTACATGCACAGAGTAGAATACAGTGGAACCTTTCGAATAATGGACACATTGGGAACAGGCATTTAGTCTTTTTACTGGGAGATTCTCTCTTTTGAAGTTAAAATGTACTAGAAAAATGAATGTATTGTGTACTTTATCAGAGGTTCTATACACTGTATATACCTATGGCAGTATAAATCATCTACAGTTGGATATTTTCTCACAAACAAACCAGAAACATAATGATGGAGTCACATACTTAGAGCGATAAAATATGAATTTGCGAGCTTGCTGTGAGTCACTAGCAGACAAACTTGCAACAGTTGCGGAACATAGAGTTCTCCTTGAGGAGCTTGGCGTAGGAGGGCGGGGCACAGAAGTGGCGGAGGAATTTCCCGAGGAAGAGAGGGAGACAAGAGATGCAGAGGATGAGGAGAGTCTTCCACACAAACTCCACCGACAGCAAGAAGTAGCCATCTGGGGGGAGAGGAGGAACACAACAACAAGGACTAGTTCCCATCTCTGGAAATTAATAGCAAGGTGTGCTGATTGCCATGGTATATACTGGTCCAGAAGTACAGTCTGGTTTAGTTTGAAATAGTCAGAGTGGTCCAGTGGTCGTATGCAAATTTTGGTGTAAACCTCAGTAATGCTCTAAAATTAATGTATGCAGGTATAGAGAGTGTTAGTCTGTGTAGACTTGGCAGCTCTAAATACAAAGTGAGAGAAGAGTTCTGTGGGAACTTAACCACACTCAGAACAACACACATTATAAACTGTAAAATGACATGGCATATGCATATGTGGCATGTCAACAATGAGGTCAGAGCAAAGGCAACTACACCCAGGACAACTCTTTTTCTCCAAAGGAAAAAAGAAGAGCCGCCCTGGGTGGGATTGCGGCACATACCAAAGTAGTCTTTGAGGACGAGGAGAGAGAGGATGTAGACCACGACTGAGAGTAGCTCGGCGAGGAGCATGAGGCCGTGCCAGGAGCGGATGGTGAGGGCCACCAGGAGGAGCTCGTTTAGGATGAGGGAGGTGAAGGTGATGGCCACCACGTGGACAAACTGACCCTCAAACAGGAGGAATCCCAGGAGCATGATGACTCCACCCTGGTACAGGGATATGAGGACCCACAGGAAAAAGGTCTTGAGTGACAGAGAGCGACCCTACACACAGGGAGAGAGGGGCAGAGGAATAAACGGATATTAGCCTCGTTCCCAGGCCTTTTCTCTCTCTCTCTCTCGGAAGGCCTGGGAACAAGGCTAAAACAGATATGTATTGCGTGGGCGTACAAAACAAAACAAAACGTGAACGATACTGATAGTTGTTTGGTTGGTTTTGAAACTGAGTCTCATAGAAAACTCTCATCATTTAAAACATGCTCTGACCTGTTAGTGTAGCACACCAGTACTCTCTCAAGTATTGTCAAGTACTACATAGCTACTGCTGATGTACCTTTTAAGGATACTGTGTTTGTTACATGACCTGTACTGTATATGCATCACTTTCTTTTTCATATTCCTCTTGTTTATGAAACGAGTTTCGTATCGGTGCAGGTGGTCTGCAAACCTTCATGAGGTCCCTGTAGAGTTCAGGGTACATGAGGGCTATGTCAGGGGACACGTCTTCATCCAGAACCAGAGAGAACACTGGGGCCATTGTGTAGACTGTGGCATATCTGGGGATGGGACCATAATATAATAATAACAATACAATTTAGATCAATTATAGTGGACTGAAGATAGGGGCTTACCCAACCATGAGGATTCCTTCATAGAGTGCAACGGCAGCAAAGTAAAACACGGCAGAAAACACAGCCTGTGAAGTGAAAATAAATAAACAACAGTATAGAGTGGAATCTCTGAGCATGGACACGTTGGGACAAGTCCCGTCCTCTCTTTGGACGTTTAGAATGTACTAGAAAAATGGAAAAGTGAATGTTTGGGATCTAAAGTGTACCCTTTATTGAGAGGATTTTGTATTATGTCCTTTGTGTCTTATATAGGAGGTTCTACTGCATATCAACCAAGCTTCGTAGAGCAAGATGCACATTATACAACCCATGACATAGTGACCTGCATGACAGAGATGATGAGACCTCTGTGGATCACAAACTGACTGAGATTGGCAGATCTCTTGTAGCTGGATGGGAGGAGTAGGGGCAAGATACGACAGGGAGTGAGGGAGGAGGTAGTGAGAGGGTATGTCATACCTGTTCCTGCCGTGCCAGACAAGGAGTCTGCTGATGTGTCTGAATTGAGTGATGGAGAAATCTGCTGCCAGAGAAGCCTGTTTCCCTTCCTGCAATGGTTCAGAATAACAGTAACATCCACTGTATATGTACTCCCTTTATCATCTCTCACCTTCCCTACAATGCCAAGGCCGACATTGGCAGCTTGGATCATGCTCACATCATTACCACCATCGCCTGCAAAACAATGTTCTCTCTCATTCATATAATGACCTCTATACCAAAGGTATAATTTAGCTTGAGACCCCGTTGTTGGAGCATACAGTATATAGGGAATGTGGCAGTATACATATAAAGGGGAAACTAAAAATGTTGTTACTGAAAACGGAACTTAATTGCATTCTTGCACTGGGCCCTATTGTTAGTTCAATATTTACAAAACTTATACCTTATATACCGCCACATTCTGTTTCAACCAGTTCCTTCACACTCACCGACAGCACAGACAGGTCTCTTGGTGTGTTGCTGCAGGAGTCTCACCACCTGGGCCTTGTGAGTGGGGGAGCAGCGACAGCAGACCACTGCCGGGCTCTGGCAGGCCAGCTCTATGAACTCCTGCCAATCAATACACACAGACACACGTGTCATCGACAGGGTCGAGGCAAAGCAAAGGCAAACAACACAGTATGTGAAAAGCACAGAAGTTACAATATCTAACACACATACAATACAAGTATGGAAACAAACAGCCTGGTATTGCTACTTACAGTGTCAATTGCTTTTAAACGCATACGCTATCTAGCTGCATCTTCATAATATTATGGTAATTCTGGATTAAATCTTTTTGAGTGCCTTCATGCCTCGCCATAGTGTCCGTCACAGGCCGAGGACGGTTTTTATTAGCATATTGGCTTTTAGAAAGATCGTTCAAGCTACAAATTTCGATCCAAGTGTTTTCTATGAAAAATTGCTATTGACAGAGTGACTATAATTATGTTATACCTGTTCATAGTGTTTGATGCAGAGCTCCAGAGAAGAGCCAGAGATGATGAGAGCTGACTCACTCTTCCTCCGAAAGCCGTTGAGCTCACTGTGAGCCTCTGAGCGAGACGACACCTGTGGAGTGACGCAGAGTACCACGTGCATTTTGAAACCTAGACTGATAATGTGGTGGTGGTTACAACATTGTGGCCATTGTATACTTCGTTGCTAGTACACTACACACATGTAAACGCATGAAGTAGAAAATTAATGGATCCTTATGTACATTTTTGAACCACAAGCATTTTATTGCAGTAGTTAAAAGTGAAACGTACAAATCTCAAATGTATGGGCATAATGCAGGATGACCTATATCATCCCTATATACTAAGTACTAGTGATAACGTTTCTGCAGTGTGCATAAGGTTCCAGTTACGTTAGATGTGTTCGCACAATTAACCTAGCCCAACACGGATGTTTGCCTGGGGCTGCTGACCTGTTTGAATGTGAAGAGTGTCTGTGCTCGAGACACGAGGCGAGAGCTTACAGCAATACTGGCAGCAGTCTCCAGTTTATCTCCAGTCAACATCCACACCTGCAATACACAGATACACCACACCTCACCCATGTACCCACCACCATGAGGCCGTGACAAGAGTTCCAACTAACTCACCCTCATAACCAACTAGTGACACAAACTAACTACAGTGCTCCAGGCTCATGACAGTAGAAAGTGTACTTTGGGACTCCATAGTTGTGGCCTCACCCGTATCCCGGCGTTCCGTAGCAGCTCTAGTGTGGGCCGCACGTCGCTCTGTAGCTGGTCCTCCACTCCTGTCAGACACAGGAGCTGGAGACCCTCCTCCAGACTGGAGATCACTCCGGCCACCTGACAGACACGGGAACAACTAGCTACGTACCATGTGTGTTTACACAGCATACAAAGCAGCAGGTAAAAATACAATGGAGGTGGGCTTACATACTGCACACATACAGACACCAGGACAGAGACAGTAGCTAGGACAATGGGGACAGCGTTAGTAAGATGGATCCTTTTGCAAGGAGTGAGAAGCAGAGTGTCACACTTTACATACTGCTATGAACTTCTGATTTTCTGATACAACCGTCCTACTTTCAGTTTGCAAACACGTAAATAACTGGTATTTGTGTGTTGGAGATTACTCCAATAGAGAAGGGGCCACCCCATGGACCTACCTGTTCCTCTCTGTCAGTGACACTGAGTCTGGCCTGTCTGAGTCGAGTCTCGAAGCCGGTGTACTGCTCCTCAGTCAGCACCTTCTTCCCCACCACCAGGGTCCTCAGCCCCTCCCTCGCCATGTTACCACACTGTGTGTAGGTGTGTGTGTGTGTGCAACATAGGGAGGGAAGTGTATACTAGGTAATGGTAGAAATTTAACTTATACCTTACTTTAAGGAGAAATTTAGCAGCAACATAATTATTTTACTGATGATACTAAACTTATCTCACTTTAGAAAGAAATTTAGCAACATTTTTATTGATGATATTAGAGACAAGTAATACAGCAGCAACTACTAATTTTACTCGTTCTCTGCCCTCCAGTTATTATTTTAGCTAGCAGATTGCATGGTTTGCATGGCCTGGTTCAACAAACTATATTGAACCCCATATCCTTGTTTATTTTAATGCTGAGTTAGTAACGAGGGATAACTGGAGCCAAAAAACTACAGTTAGGTTAGAAGGAGGTCTGCACATGCTGTTTTTGGCATGTGCATGATCTAAGTAAACGTTACAATTACTAAAACTAGAGTTGCTGAACTGTGCAGCAGCATTTGGAGTTCTTTTGGGCTTGGACAACTGCCCTCCTGCACCTCAACAGAAGCGTCAGTGAATGTTCAAAAATAGAAAGGCACTAATGTGCAAACCCTCGGCGAACCGCGCATGCGCGGTAACAATTGATGCGTTTACTCGTGGTCTCTATATAGTGACTCTAGTCTCCCGCTATATAGTAGCTCCCGGAGAGCCTGACACGGACTAGCTACAGTAGTAGATAGCATGCGGGAGTCGATACACGCCCTTGGTTGTGACTTCTTGTGCCTTCAAGATGCACAGAGCAAGCGGACCTGGTCGAGGTAAGCCTGTGCTAATTTGCAGCTTTTCACGCCATAACTTTAGAACGCAGTATTTTCACGAAAATCGCCATTTTTAAAATGAAGCCAGTGTAGCGCCGAACCCATTGGTGTCGCTTCTTGGCCTGTTTGTTGCGCGTGGTTGCGATAACAGACAGACAGACCAAGTAAAAACCCTCGCTGCGCATGCGCCGAAGGTTTTCTGAGTCAGGGTGTATGTCGTAGGGAAAAACTTAGACATCTGTCGAGTCATGAGCTAAAGAGAAGGAAAAGAAAGGGGTATTTCCAAGTACCGCTGTAGACATTATGCTAAGCTTTGAGAGGTCTAATAGTAAACCAAAACTAACAAAACCAGTTGGTTTTGGTTGTTATTGACAACTTCTAAGTCACTGCACAGTAAACTGAAAACAGAAAGAAGTGACCGCCAAACAATCACAAGGAATACTAAAAGGGACATCATAAAGTGAAAGTAGTAGTACCTACTCCAACAGGC